TAGATATTATTTCCAACTACATCTTGTAGAAATCACTTGCTTAAAATATCAAAGTCTCTATGTGTGTGTTCTTGCACATTTGAGCTTAATTTGCTCCTTGCCCATACCTGGAATGTATGTCTTTTAATTTAAAGTCCACAATGTGTTACAGTAACAACATCAAGAGTAACACAAAGGCAGATAAAATGCGCACGCACACACACAGAGACACACACAGCAAACTGTCCTGATCGCTGTGCTCCTGACAGCCTCCGGTTTTATTCTTGCCAGTCATTAAAGTAAACCTAATAGAAAAGCCATCATCATAAATACATTAACAGAGAGAGAAATGTCTTCCTGTGTTCAGAGAGTACTCGATCTTCTAAAGCAGCCAGACGCTGCTGTTTGGAATGCACTACTGTTGGCCATTTGCTACCCATCATTGATGAGGGGCTTTTGGCAATGATAAACACACGCACACACACATCCACACAGACATACACACTCAGAAACTGATGAGAATATTTTGGCAGAAACAATGGAAGGACATGAGTGAGTGTAAAGAAACATGTATGTAAACTGCAAAAACATTCAGATACATATAGAGAAACAGACACCCGCATGCAGAAAGTGAAGCACACTTGCACCAAGTTGAAGTAATAAACCTTGCACACTTGCACACACTTAGACACACAAATGCATCCACTCTCACAACTCCGCCAGGCTCGGAGTGAGCTAGCTTAACTACTGGGATAATTTCCCTCCAGCAAATGGTCACTGTGCCCTTGAAAAACATATTTGATTATTACTTTTTCTCCCCCTCCTCTTTTTTTCTTTTAGCATCATCACAGCCATTTTCATCACGCGCTCTGATGATGGCACGGCAAGGCGCGTTAAGATAACACCCCGGCACCGCCAGGCTTTTAACACTTAAACGGTGAAAAGGGATATTCAGATTTGTCCTTGAACGTTTGGATGGGGCCTGCTGGGCTGGGACAGAGGGAGGGAGTAGGGGAAGGAGTTAAAGAAACGCATACATGTTTAAGATTCACTTACTTTAGGAAAAAGTGAGGTTAGGAAGGCATTTATGGTAGCACCCACAGTGAGAGATGGAGAAGGTGGGGTTCAAGGGCAGATGGAAGAGTTAAAGAACGATACACTATAAAGAAAAAGTGTGAAGGGGAAATGATTAGTGGAGCACGCGCAATGAGGCGGGGGACTTAGGGAGAGTCAGGGAGCAACGGGAGGCCAAAGACACCACATGCATTCCTTTAAACACCATCTAATCTCATGTAAGTCTTAGCTAAACATCCTACATACAAACTCAGAGACAGAAGAAAAAAGGAGCAAATGAAGAGCTTAAAAGTTGGTCTTCAACCTGCAACACAGGAGGAAATGCTGCAAGAAAAGTGAGGCTCTCTTGTCCAAAAACAAACGGTATTTAATCTACTCGAAAGTGAAATGAAAGCTGTTTAAACAAACTGGCAGATTTGAAAGGGAGGGATTTAGCATAGAGACTTTGTGTTACTGTATAATAACTAGGGAATGCTGAGGAAAGGGATTATAGACCATCTCAATAATACCCCAAAGATTAAAACTGGCCAGAGTAGAAGTTAGGCCATTTAAAATGTTTAGTGTTACTACCAGGTAAGTTTGAATAAAAACACATGTAGGCAGGAACCAAGTATGCACCTATCGTGATGTCATCTATTGGTTGGTGCATTGAGTTTGACATTATGGCCGTCGCCATGTTGTTTTTTTTGTAGCTACTCATCCGTAGCAGCAAAAAATGGCAGCCTGCCTGGTTACACACGTTCTTGTATTACAGATTACAGAAGAGCACACTTTTGTTGTATGTTTCTGAAAAATTTAAGGTGAGAAATAGGCAATGCAGTAACAGAATCTTTATTCATATTTAATCAGCAGTGCCTAGTTTGATCTCAGTTGCGTGCGTTTGCTGGACGGGCCCTCAAGAGTGTTTTGTCAATCATAAGGCAGCCACGCCCTAAAGAATACCCTGTTCGTATGAGGTACCCTAATAAATAGACCTTATCGTCTATTTTACTCTGAATGGAACAATGAATTTACAGAATGAACATCATGTTGCATGGAAGAAGCTTTGAAAATAGCAGTTCAGACCATAAACTCAATAGGAAACTGTTAACTGAGGTAATAAAATTAGTACCATAAACGGGAAAACCATTCCTATAATTGTGGTAATATATTAGATTTCTGCTGTAGAGGCGGAGTGCATGGCTGCCTTTCACTGTGTCGTTTCTGATACTAGCACTGGGGGGTAGTCACTAATTACAAATCCTTTAAATCCAAAGTCTGACATAAAAAAAAAGAAAATATCAACTCCTAGTTGGAGTAAGTGGGTATACAACATACAGCTAAACAATAGACTATTCACAACATTCTGGTACACATTTGAACTATAAGGAAAAACTCTCCATCAAGTAATTACAATTACACTTAGAACTTAAAATATGCTAGTCTGCAGGGTGAGTAGGTACATAGATAGGTGGGTGTTGGGTGGGCAGGGATGATATCAACTTACACGATATAGAGGGAGAACGGTAACAACTTATTTGGCTTACTGCTTGTGTTTTAATCAAGTTAAACCCAAAGAAACATTTTCGCAGAACACCGTCAACTGGCTCAGTTTTTTGTTTGTTTCTTGAGACGGGTTAGGTAAGATAATGTTTCTGACACTGTTTCGCCTTCACTTGAAATACACTCCTTTTCTGTTTGAAACAGTCCAGACTTGAACACAAACGTGTGTGTTGCATATTTTTGGATGAGTGTACACGTGCATGCAATTCTGTGTGTATACACATGCAGGTTTTCTTCATGCGTGTGTGTGAGAATGTGTGTGTGTACATTTACGTGTGCACATGTGCACGGAAGCCGGTACGTGTATCTGTTGCCAGACGGCTGTCTCCTGGCATTGCTGTTCCCCTGCAGTGTGTGTGTATGGTTGTTGACAGTGTGGACGGTAATGTGTGATAGATCGCACTTCAGGGACCCCATAATCACATCAGCCTAACCTAGTCTATCAGCTGGGCACAATGGGATACCCTTCACTCCTCCTTTAATCTGCTCCATCTAGCTCTTCACCACTCTTCTGTTTTTTTCTCACACTCACTTTTCCCCTCTTTCTCTGTTCTTTCACAGTATCTTCTGTCTGATTCATATTTTATAGTTTTTAATTACTAACTCTTTCTTTCTTTTTCTGACTCTTCTTCCTTTCTTTAATTTTCTTCTTACAATATACATTTACATTCAAGTGTATACTATTGTTTGTAGTAAATTGTACTTTATTTGTAGTCTTCTCTCTATTTCTTTCCCTCACTTTTATCAGTTTTTGACATTTTTCATGTAACTTATTTGAAGGTACAATATTATTTACTTTAAATAAAATTGCATGTAATCTTTAGTCTTCTCTTGTCTTCTCATTTTCTTTCTTTCTATTTTTCTTTCTTTCACAAAATCTGTCTGGACATGGTGAGAGGCAGCAATGAGAGTGACTGGTGCCAAGGTTAAGTAGCCTATCCTATAATAGGTGTTGCTGTGTGAATGTTGTGTGTGAGTGTCTTGAAACAGACGTGTGGGGTCGAGGTTGCATAGCCGGCCCCAAGGCTCCCCGACAGCGCAGTGCACCCGGCAAATGGCCCTTAGCCTTGCTAGCGCCGCTAGCCCTACGATCCATCATACCATATGTTCTCAATGGGGAAGCTAACGCTAATGACTGATGAGTGGATGGGAAGGGGGCACATAAAGAAAGGGAGGGGAGAAGAATAGGGTGAGGAAGAGAGGAGAAATAAAAGGGTGGTGGGAGGAGGCCAGAGTAAGCTGGGAAACAAGTTGAGGGAAAGTAACAAAGAACATGACAAAGGAGAAGAGGAGATGTGAAATAAATAAAACCAGGAGATGGAGAGGAAGAGGAGGGGGGAGCATATGCACTCCTTGGGAGGCCACCTCAAATGAAGAATGACCATATAGCCTGCTCAGTTGGAAGAGAAAGGGATTTAGTGGAGGAGAAGAAAATAAAACAGATGCGAGGAAACAAGTAACAGGGCGATGGAGTAAAATACTCTCAAATTAAATTATCGCTAAAAGTCTTACAGACAAATTCATGAAAAGTAAACATGTTGGAAAGAATGAAATAAAGTAAGATTTTATAATAAGTTTTTTGTCAGCATGCATGTATTTTTTTGTCTGTAGGGATCTTGTGTGTGTGTCAGTGTGTGTCTGTGTGTCTGTGGATAGGCTAATGGAGTACTATAGGCCTGTCCATATGGGGCCATTGTTTATGTGTGATGAATAGAGTCCACGTGTCTGTCTCTGGCACTCAACACTAAGCGAACCCTGCCGAGGGCACCCTGTTGACTCTGTGTGTGTGTTTGTGTGTATGTGTGGGTGCTTGTAATATGTCTATATGTGTGAAAGTGTGTGTGACTGTATGTGTTTGTGTGAAGGAGAGAGAATGAGTGTGTATTTGTCCTGCTGTGTGCTTGGCAGTGCCCTCAACGGTGCCATCCCGAGTGTGTTTCATCATCATCTGCCATGACAAAGATGTCTAATGACACACACATACACCCACACCCACACATACACACACACACAGTCCCATCTGTGCCATGGTATCTGGGTGCTTTGGGACACTGCAGGAGAGGAAGAAAGGGAAACGACCCCACGTTCCTACACCATGTGTCTACCTCAACCCTCTTTGCTTCACTCTCTTCTCCTGTAATTTTCTATCTTTTTCCAAAATAAACATTAAAAATGTCACAACCAAACTCCGACAAATTCCTTTTTTGGTAAGAGTAACTTGTTTTCTGAACAAAGGGCCTTTTTGTTGATTGGATTTTACAATAAAGAACTTTCTCGAAACAAAACTGTTTTCTATCCAGAAGGCTCAGCAGGCTTAAAAAATAGGAAAAATTTATATTTTATATTAAAGTATTATAACAGTTAATGTTAATTTATGTTTGTATCTGTGTCTTTCCTTCACCCACCTGGGGCATATGTATGCCCTTCCCCCCTCTCAGCATCACCGCAGCACACCAATGTATCATCTTCAATCCGGCCTCCACAGCATTGGACCCCATAGCCATCATGGAGGCTCCCACTACAGCAGACCTGCCTGCCTTTCATCGAGTAAGGAACCCCCCCACAGCAGCTGTCACCCAGGCCCACTGAGACCCGGCCCTGCGAGTGGTCAGGACAGCACTTTTCATCTACAAAGACAAGGACAGATGAAGGAAACACTTGAACAACATGGAAAAGGGTAGACTCCAGTCAAGTAGAAAAGTGTAAACATATGAAGCGGTTTCAAACTCACTGGTTTTTACATGAACATAGTATCCTCCGCAGCACTGGTGGTCAGGGAGAGCTGGGAGCAGTTTGCCATTGCAGCATGCCGGATTGGAAAAATTACTTAAACTCAGGTATCTGCCCTCACAGCAGTGATGATGCGGTTTCTTAGTGTACAATAGTCCACTGCAGCAAACCTGGTTGACACACAATTGCACACACATATGAGAAAGTATGTAAACGAAATCCACACAAACACACAGATAGAGTCATGCATTGAAAGTATGGGACTATCTGCCAAACAGGAGAAAAAAAGATGCGGAGAGAGGATTATAGCAGGAAAAATATGAAAACAAAGCAGAAAAGAAGAGAGGAAAAATATTATACCCCAAAATGCATCATTCTCAATACACCCATAATCATTATGTGTGTTGTGTCTTGCATTTCAAAAGAGTTTGTCATTTATTACATATGTCATCAACATGAGGCATATAGAAGTGTGTGTGGTTCAACGTAATACTCTTGACTTAACGAAAAATGAAAAAAACAGTACCCCTCTAGAACAATCAATATTGTACTGGGTTGACCTGTACGTGCTGTCTGTTTCTTCAAAACTAAAATAAGTACCAAATTAAAAGAATATAATCACCTGAATGTCAGGATGGAAGCAGGATGTCCCACACACACCATGACTGGCAGGACACTGCAGGTAGGAACATCTGAATTTTACACCACCTGCACCTGCTGACTCTTCCCCGACAGAGGATGTGACCCCTGTTGACCCAACAGCACATGACCTCAGGGTCCGTCTTAAGATCTCAAAGCCCAGCATAATCCCACTGGGTCTGCCTGGATGGGACCAGTCCAACCTCACCGCCCTGACAGAGGGAGACAGCAAGGCAGGAAAAGAGAGAGAGAGAGAGAGAGAGAGAAAGAGAGAGAGAGAGAGAGAGAGAGAGAGAGAGAGAGAGAGAGAGATCGTGGTATGTTCTTCACACTTCTTTCACACTACCGGGAGACACACAAAAACTTTGTCATACTCAAACACACACAGGCATTCATGCATGGTTAATGCCTGACAAAGTTGAGTTACAGTGTCAGGGTGTGTGTATCTTTATACACTTCTCACTATTGATTTTCCTCTTTTTTATCTCTGACATCTTTGACAGGGGGAAGACCTGTGTAGTAACACACAGAGTTACAACTTCCACACTCTCCTAGATAGAAAATGTGCCGGAAATCACCACTTCCTCTGTAACTATGAGATTTGCAACGTTGCAATTTAGGTCAAACACAGAAAGCAAAGATTGTAAAATGGCACTAAATTTAACTGTCTGCAAATAACATGTCAGCTTAAATTCATATTTTATCAATTTTGGAAGCTGTTAAAAATAAACTCCAAGGTAATCTGATTACATTATATAGTCAGAATACTGTTACTGTATGCTAAAATTGTAACATTGCTTATCAGTAATTATAGCTGAATACTAGTCAATCTTGATAGACCACTGAAGACAAATTCATGCAGTCCCTGTGTCTTCTAGGGCTGTAGGTTTTACAGCAGTAGGAATAAATAGTTTTAGTTTGTTTGCCGACAGAATATGGTTTCAAAGTATAGCTGAAATTGTGTAATAAAAACAATTTTAATGATGTTATTCTTAATTTATATAAAAGTTGCTGAGTAAAATTACATTTTGCATGCAGTCCTTTTGCAAACAGTCCACATCTTGTGCTGCCTTTACAAGACCAAAAAAGTAGCTCCACTGTTTACTCTGTTACTGACAGCTGTATTGATTATGTTGTGTCAAACATGCAAACCAACCTTTTGCACTGTCGATAAACATTAATGATTTCTACTTTCAAACCAAAGGATATGAAGTTTCATGAACCTGGAACAATACTAAAAACACTCAAGATTCAATATTTTCATTTCATTTCAAAAATAGCAAGTGAGGCAACGTTACATTACATTACATTTAGCTGACACTTTTATTCAAAGCAACTCACAATTAGTGCATTCAACCATGTGAATACAACCCAAAATTGCTAAGATCATCCAAGTACATAAATTTCCATCTGCTGAACTGCTTCACGTGCTACAAGTAAAGAATAGGTAAAAAATTCAGTACATCTCTGTATTACCTGGGACTGATCACTTGTGTGTGCGGTGTGGCCATGTCAGCAGGCAGGTCCTCCACAGTAGTTGTCTGAGTAACATTACTCCGCACACACGCATACACAGTACACACCTCCACCTGAAATACACAATTAACGGCAGACAAAAAAATAATGCACATTTGTGCGTCTGTGTTTGGAGATGCATGTCTGCTTTCATTTGTATGTGTACCTGTACATTGTAGACAGTAAAAGGCAGCAGGTCCCCCAGCAGGTAGGACCCTGAGCTGTTGTCTACACTGCCATGAAGACGGTCATTAACATAGATGTAGTAACCAGTAACTGCTCCATTGGGCCGTAGAGGAGGGAACCATAGCACACGTACTGTACTGCTGTTAACTGGCACCACTTCTGGGGCAGACATCCCGTCTGGCTCTGAGGACGGCACATGTGAGTACAGAGACCCCAAATTGTTTAATTCTAAAGAACAACAAGATTTTTTACAGCTTAAAGATAAGAGTAGACAAGTCATCTTCAAACTTATATGCTTGAATTGTGGTATGAAACCAGTGCTCTCAACATAATGTAAGATTTTACGTATGGACTACTTCCACTGCTACAATAATGTAAAAACACACACCACTGAAACTTTAAAATGTCCTTATACAGTGCATCAACCAGGCTGGAATCCTGAAAAAAGGCTATATAATGGTTATCCCCAGTATGCTCTAATGACAGTTCATAATAGACGTAACATTCTGAATCTGGGCATATGTTTTAACTATCATGCAAGTTTGGTTCAAAGTTATTTTAGTAGCAACACTAGTTTTACACAATGAGTGCAGACACCTGCCTGACAAACTTTTCAAAGCTCAAACATCAACGTGCATTTGTAAGAGTATGTGTGAAAGAGAAGGAAAGAGATAGAGATGGACACAGAGAGGTTATAGGGGTGCGATTGTGTATACCGCACGGCATGTTTGTGTGTCTGACAGAGAAAGACAGAGACTGTGTTGGTGTATAAAGGGCGCCTGTGAGTCTGTGTGCTAGTAAGGGAGTGAGACCACCTGTGGGTCCGCTGTGTATGCAGTATTGTGTTAATAATGCTATTTAGCAGTAAATAAAATGTAGAGCAATGGGGGCTGGGTTTAGATAAGTTTAGTGGCAGCATATAAACAGGTTTAACCTCTCTTACCTGTGTGCATTTTTATTATGAATACTAGATTGATTCTGCATCACTTTTTCTCTCTCTCATAGGTTATAGCTAATCTTTCTCTGAGACAGCCTCTACCTTTCTGTGTTGTGTTATATACTTGCTCGATCTTTCACTGTCTGTTTGAAAGGAAGGAGTAAACGACAGACACAATGAAGGACATTGGAAAATCTGACAAATGGAGCACAAGTATGAGCTAATCTGTGAAAGACGACGAAGATAAAGAGACAGTGAACATTTAAAAGTCAAGGGGAGGGACAAAGAACATAGAATATTGTTAATGTAACAGTTTCTTCAAATGACAATGGAGATCAGGTTGTGAGTAGAAAAGTGAGAAAGAAAGAAACCAAACAAAGAGGAAGAGAATATGAGAGATGGTGTGTGAGACAGGTAATCATATAGACTCCATCTATTATTCTAAGTGAAAATGCACTCAGCTAAGAGAAGTTAACCCAATTCATTTGCTGCCAATGCACTTACCTAAACCCAACCTACTGCTCTACATTTCATTTACTGCAGGATGGCATTATCAACGCAATACTGCACACTGAGCCTCTTTCACTCATACTAATACGCACACACACGCACACACACACACACACACACACACACACACACACACACACACACACACACGCACACACATTTTTCATGCCAATTAGTCCTGATGTTGGCATTGCCCTATAGATTGCTGGCTATGTTAGGATGGTTGGTGGGGTTGAGCTGCATTAGTTAAAATATATTTGGCCTTGGCGTGTGTGTGTATGTGTGCATATGTATGTGTGTGTGTGCACACTCTTATGGCTGTAAAATAATGAAATTACCTCCAGAGCCCTCTCAGTTAAACGAGCCGTGCTTTGCCTTTAGCACCTAATGATTTTCTAATGTTTTTAATGCACTTTTTATTATACTGCTCAGATTAGAGAGAAAGAGAGAGGTCTCTGACATATGACTGTACTGAAAAAGAAAGAGAACTATGTGTGTGTATGGGGGGCGCAAAGAAAACAACAGACAGACTGAGCAGCCTCTGACATATGAATACATAGAGTGATTTGGAAGATAACCCTCAAATGCTGAGAGGTTGGGCTAAGAGTTGGAGAGGGAAATGGAGAGAAAAGTCTTGATGACAGTTGGATAACTTGTGCAATGCATAGCTAAATATAGTAAAAGCGTTGCTTATTTTCTACTTAACACACTCTCTCAAAACTCCACATTTTACATTATGATAAAGAGTCTCAGTTGTTCATTTTACAAATATTAACAGACGATGCAAAGACAACAAATGAGGATCTAGTAAGAGGTATATTGTATTGTAATGTATATGTTTGCATATGTTGGTGGAACGTTTCCATTTCAACATGAGATACAATTTATTTTAGTATAGATGTTCCCCATAGAATATCTAAGTATAGTTACTAGCCTGCATAAGACATGAGAACACCCATGTTTACTGTCTTGTGTGTATGGCTGTGTGTGCAGTTTGCATGCGTTTGTCTGTGTGCGGTGCCAACAAGCATTTTAAAACACCTTAAATCTGCCTCACACACACACGCACACTTTGTATTGATTTCATGCCTTGCTACATGATGTGTTTAACATCTCCTCAGAAGCACAGAGCTGCAGGGAAATGCACATTGACACAGACACCTTGTGAATGTATTCAATTTATGTAATGTACATGACACACTCATATATACATGTGTGCACATTAACCCCCTCACTCATATATGTAAGAATAGTAAGTAAGTAATACCTCCATCCTCTGTGGTGACGTTACCCATTGCCTTAGTTGTATTATGTGCTCCATTGGACACCTGTAATGACACCCGATATGTGGTACTGGGCCAGAGGTCACTTATCACTGTGGAGATAATATCTTGGGGGAAAACCAAGATTTGACTTGACTGGGCAGACTCTATTGTCAGAAAGTAAGATTCCACGTCTCCCTGCAGATCTTGTACAGCTGAAAGACACACAGAGAGAGGGAGAGAAGTGAGGGAGCAGTTAACAAAACTGAATTTTTTGTCGCTATTTTCACTTTTTAGCTTCAAGTCACAGAACAATCTTCATAGAATATATGGCAATGAAAGACCTTTTCTGGGCAGACTGTGTGTGTTTTGAGTGTGTGTCTTTAAGAGAGAGGGTATCTTACAGGGTTGTGTCCAGTTGACCTGTACAGCAGTGTGATTGATAGCTTGGGCAGACAGAGACGGAAGGTGGTGGGGAACCCCCGCCATGGTCACACCGCTAACAATCTCTCCTGAGGAGTAGCCTACGTCATTCTCTACCTCTAGCTGGTACTCGTAACGGGTGAATCTGTTGAGAGAAAACATTGCGTTTTTTGATAGGCGGGACACAACAGCGATTAATGTTGCTGGAAAATATCGTCAAGATTCTGAATGAATACAAGGCTGAAAAAAAGTAGTTTCTTCTATCAGTGATTCAAAAATAGCTTGGCAGAGAAAAAATAACATGCTAATAGAGACTAGTTCCTACTGCAAGTGACAGTTTACAGTTTTAGAGAAATAACAGATATGATAGCAATGCTGTGAAGTGGAAGAAGGGAGGTAATAATTTCAGTCCTGTCTATCTTTCATCAAAAAATAAAAATAAAAAATAAAATCCTGCAAAGCAAAAAGTGCTGACACGTTCAAAAGTTTGTCAGTTTACTACTTGAATAAAACACAGTAGAGACACAAACCAGAAAAGAGTACACCCAGAGCCGTTTAGCAAGCATAGAGAAAAAAAAATTTGCTTCCACCAAGTGCCAAACTGAGATTAGGGGACGCTGTGTGAAAAACAATTTAATTCTTTGGGATATTTGCTTAATGTATCTTTGAGCGGTATTAAAAGATCGGCATCAGCGGCAGCTCGCCGATCGGCTCTGCACACACGGTTTGCTGCGGCGCCGGCGTTTGCTCTAGAGCTCATTTCAGTAATCTCACCTGCTTAGGCCTTTATCTTGGTAGAACAATTTGGTGCCGGAGTAAACATGGAGCCAGCGATGGAGATCTTCAGAGGGGGGAGGGGACATGGCTGTTACCGTGGGGACCTTGGCAATGGCCAGGGGCTGGTGGATTTTACGTCTGAGCAACTTGTATCTGAAGGGGAAATTTGAATAAAAGAAAATACACACACACATGGTTGGATGTTTAGGAATGCATTAACACACAACATGTGTTCACAATTGCACCAGTATGAGCACACACCCACATGGAAATACACACACGCCTGCACACACGTGCATGTATAAAGACACAACCACACACACAATTTTCAACTCTTTTCCTTATCACTCATTTCCTCCTCTTCTGCTGTTTTTCATCATCTCTATTCTTTTGCGTTCACTGTATCTCACCCCACCCTCCCGACGCCCCTCCCTCTGTTGTTTTTTCTGCAGGGTTTGTGTTTTCCTCTCCCCACAGTGATGCTAATTTCTGCTGTAATCAGAAGAGAAGGGCTTAATGCCGCCTTTTAACCAACCCACTTAGACAAACACACAGAGCTGAGCAGAGCAGAACAGAGAGACGGGCTCATGCATTTTAATCGCCTGCCAGGAAAATGGACCTTTATTTTAGGCCTAATCTCCGACAGAGTAGAACAGGACAGAACAAAACGGACCAGAGTGTGCGTCAGGACTGAGAAAACAGTGATTAAAAAATGCACAACACTTAGCTCATTACCAGGGCACTCATGTTAGCAGCTTGTTAACGTGTTCCAATCTGCCTGTTTGCTTACATTTTTCAGTAACAATTGAACATCTCCAGAATGTGTCTCTCAATAACAACATGCTCATTTGGAGTCTTTGCTGCCTGGTTTCTAACTTTGGGCTTCAGCTAATGAATAAAAATACAGGGTCAATTCAGATTATGTAAAGTTATGATGGTTACACAGATTGGGATCCACACATATTAGCTCTTCATAATTAGTATTGGATTATGGATGGGTATGTATTTGTTTATACAGAACTATGACAAACTTTATTTTTTACTTTTCTACATTCACTTGGTTAAATTCCTAGAACCATCAGAACGCAATAGACGCAATTTGTTTGGTTCTGTGTATTTTGGAAGCAGTTATGTCTGACTGATTCATAGTGGGAATGTTGACTAAATCATGTTGAGATTGCTGCGGTGGACACGTGAATCTGACCTGGATAATATGTACATTTTTTGGTGACATTTGTGTTTTTACATGGTGTATTTCTACTTAAGAAACACACAACTCATCATCCTTCCTTTGTAATTTTGTACTGTATGTTCTGTTAAATACACACACGTTCTGATAGCAGATGGGCCAGGGCAAATAATTTCCCCCATACATATTGATTGACACATTTTATATGTCTAAATGTTATGTGCAACACACTGACACAATTTTCACAAGCCAGTCAATGTAATGCAGGTACTGAAGAACATTGCCGGGAAAAGTAATGTTAGAGTAAACATTTAGTTACTCCATTTCATATTTTTTGCCCTTTTCATTTACATTTTTTTGTACTAGTTTTACTATTCATATCGCAAGTTTATTGCAATATTGATGAAAAAGAAAAACAAGGGAATTTGATGTGATGGTGTATCTTTGCACAGCCTCTGAATTACCTGATGTTAGGTCCATTGGGTCTGCTTGGTGGTTGCCAGGAAATAGCCAAGAAAGACTCACTGACTGCCACTACGGACAGTAGTGCAATACCTTCAGGACTTGTGGGTAATGTGGTAGCTAGAGTGGGCAGGCTTTCTGTACATCCTCCAACATATCCACCACCCATGGAACAAGCTAACAAAGTGATACTGTAGTTCGTGTATGGAATGAGGTCCGTTATTGTGACGTTGAGCTCAGGAGAATTTGCACTGTCATGGAAGATGCGGGGTTCCGGGAGGCGGATCTCATAACCATGGATTTCTCCATTGGGAATAAGTGGAGGAGACCACGTGACCTGAAACACAAGTGTGTCAGATTTAAGTTCTGAGTTATTCATTTAAAATACAGTATTGAGAGAAAACCAAAGGCCTAGTTCACTTGATCCCTCACTTCTAACTGTCCTGTCATTATCCCAACAAAGTCATCTCATTGGTCTAAAGTCTAAATGCTCTCAACATGCTGGAGACAGCAGAAAGCTTTTAGATGGATGAACTACAGGAAGTCATGGGATAATGCGTGTGTGTATGTGCAAAGCTTGCATGTGTGTGCTCATGCAAACACATATCTGCAGAGAAATGCAAGTGTGGTCAGTTGAGTGCTACTTGTGCTATGATGTAGGTAGTATCTGTGCGTGTGTACATTGTCACCTGGGTATGTGAATGTACAGCATTAGGATGATCACTGTATGTGTGTGTGTGTGTGTGTGTGTGTGTGTGTGTGTGTTCAACTCTCTAGTGGGGAAAGATAACCTGACTTTGACTTGAGCAGAAGATTCCTTTCATCAAATTTAAAACAGGGCACACACACAAAAACACGCGCACATGCACAAACACCATGCTAAAATAATGAAAACAGCTGGTAATGGAATTGGTGCATGCAAAAACAAAAGCTTGCTGTCGTTCAGCACTGCATCTGATTTGGAAACAGTTCAGTCTGTCAGCACTTCAGAGTGAAGATGAAGGTAACTGGCACACACACAAATGGGCAATACACACACACACACACATACACACACACACACACGTTTGAATTACAGATATCTATACAATAAATATTTTGTGTATACATCTACATACAAACAGCGCGTACACACACACACACACACACACACACACACACACATCTGTGTTCATGTACTGTGTGCTCTAACACACTTACGGATACAAACTGTCATGTAGAATAACTGATCAGTTCACAGCTTGCTGAGACTTATGAGTTTAGGTGATTAAGTGGTCAATGTTGATGAGAGTATTATGAATGAACGTCAAGAATAATTATTTCTCATGCAACCTTGATATTCATTTAACAAGTGACACTGTGAGGTGACACACACACACACACACACACACACACACACACACACACACACACACACACTCTGAGCCACACACACAACCACATATGGGCAGGGTCATGTTGAGTTAGGTAGCTCATTTCCCAAAGTGCGTGTTGGGTGTGCTTTGTGGTGGAAGTCATTTACAGATTGAATAGCCTGATGTAATCTGGAGATGGTGAAGACAGCAGAGACCCTGGGCTGACACAGAGCACTGGGGCTAAGGCCAGTACAGTATGTGTGTATTTGTGTTTGTATATGTGTTTATGTGTATATGAGTGAGAGAGAGACAGATGATAAAGTTGGTAGTGAGAGAGAATAGGTGTGTGTGTGTGTGTGTGTAAGGACGTGGTGTATGTGTGTGTGTGTGTGTGTCTTTGTGCATCTATGCCATTATAATCAGAGAATAACTCAAAGGCACTGAGAGAGTGCCAGCCTCTGCAGCTGAGAATATAATTATACTGTTTCTTTGTACATGCATCAACATTCCCACTTAAACATTAAGGTAAATTTATATTGTCATCCTGCAAACCTGATTTTATTATATTTGTGGTTAAAGAGTGAAAAATATGGTGGTAGTAGTGGGTCACAGATCAGAAGATGGCCAAAATCAAATGAATGGTTTAATTCACTGAAGTTTAAAAATGCATATATCATAACTAACAAACTACCAGTGAATGTACCAGTAAACTATCTTGGTAGAGATAATGAGAATAGAATGAGAAACCAATCACTTGAATCAGACCCTAACAAAGTAGCAGAGAACATTTAGAGTGGTTACAGTCTACTCTTTACGATCATTGTTTAATACAAAACCTGCATTACAATAATCAAGGTGTTGATCTTTATCACTTACTGCATCACAGACTATTCCACTCACAGTCTGATAAAGCCAAAATGCCACTGTCTTTAAATAACAGAGATGTTATCCTAATATCAGAATCACACACATTCAGTAGACTTTGGCTGTGCCTTGATAACCTGACCAGTAGTATAACTACATAAAAGGACACGGACAAAACAAGCAAACTGAAAAGAAAATATGACAATGGGAGAGAGTTAATACCTCGATGAGCAAGAAGTGATATGAAAAAGAAACCATTTAGAGAATGAAGGGAGATACTCAAAATCCGCTCTATGTTGTCAAGGTCAATTGGTAACCAGGAAGCGGCCTGCCTGTCTGTCCAATTAGCAACAACCAGGAAGAAACACTTTCCTTCTCGGACCTATGACCCCTAAAGCTGTGCTGCTGCAGAGATGACAGGGGCGGTTCTGAAATGATGACAGGCATTAGCATTTTTCTGCAGTTAGCATTAGTGCAGGGTTGTGAGTGCATGTGTGTGCGTCTGTGTGTGTGTGTGCATGCGTACAATATTGTTTCAGAGGCTTCCGTTGATAGGCCTTGATGTGGGATTAGCCAGTGGTGAAACTTAACTCTGGCCCCTCCTTCAAAATGGCCGACAGGAAGGAAGCTGCCTCAGACAGGGTCACAGCCCCTCCCATTTTCTGAAGGGGACCTTGAGTTGAATGTTTTTCTTTCTCATTAAATCTCAAGAAGGAACGACAGAGGAATCAGTGTGACATTGCTTTGTCTTTTCTTCTCTGAGTGACTGAGGAGATTTCATTGTCGTATTGTATTTTCTCTGTATTTTCAATTTCAAGAAACTTAAACACTTTAAATTCTAAAAGCTCAGAGATTCTGAAAACTTTTATCAGTTGAATGTAATTAGAGATATTACATTTTACAATCAGTAGCACCATGGCTTACTTGACATTAAATTTGTGAGCCATATCTCAGAACTTTTGTGCTCTCATGCCAGATTTAAGAGGTTTTTGTGAACCTGTGAGAAGTCAACATACCCAAAGTGACTCTGTACCCAAGACCTTCACCCTCGGTGGACTGAGACCAGCTGGCCGAGACGGTCTGGTTGTGATATTGACCCAGGGTCCTGCAAGTATGTAAAATTATGTGGTTAAAAATCTTACTGCCAAATAGCAAAAGTTGGAAGCATTCATCCTTAAGCTGCCACTAGACTGCAGCATACACATATCATGGTCAAATTCTGGTGGTTTGGTGGATTTAATTTCAGTTGAGCCCATTATTATGGTTTTACCTGTTGTGTTGCCAGCCTGATTATGGAGCACAAGCCGATACTGGTAGCTAGTCCAGGGACTGAGAGCTGATGAAGAGTCCAGGAAGGAAAGAGGAGGAGGGTCTGGTGGGAGATGGCCCACTGTGGACACTTGTTTAGTCCCAGCAACTCTGCGCTCAATCAGCCATCTATGCCCAGCACAAGATACAATGGAGTTTATATACAAAGCGAGTGTCACAGAGGAATTGCAGTTTACAGTATGTATGTGACAATCTCTCACCGCTCCAGCGGGCCATTGCTCAACTCCGGTGCACCCCAGGACAAGAGAACAGAAGTTGGGGTGTCAGAGTAAAGGTGAGGTGCAGGAACCCCTTCAGGGGGAGCTGGGAGGGTACGGAAGCTCGGAGACATCCCAGACACTGAACAACCCACACTGGTGCATGCTTCCATCTAGATTTTAACATCACATATATATATATATATATATATATATATCATAGTTAAAATAATTAAGAACAATTTAATATCATGAGTTATTCTGTTATTTCTCTGTCAATAATCTCTAATTGTGGCACATTTGACTGCCATGCTACAATAACTATTAAAGTGCAAACAACAAGAAAAATAAAATCTGTTGTGACATTTTGTAATTTACTCTCATCTGTGCCTGGAAACATATGATTATTCAACTGCCAAATATTATTATATTTATATTAATCATTGGAACATAATCAGAGGAATAGAGATAGAGTCAACAGAAACACAATTATGACACTTTAACTGTGTTTGTATATGTTTTAAATTGCATAATATTTAATCTGTCAATGTTTAATCTATCACACTATACAGTACAATATTGTGTTCTACCCTAGTATAGTTCTAATATATCATACCTGGAGGCTGTAGGTCTGGTATGGCAGCAGGTCGAGGAAAGTGTAGGTAGTGGTGTTCCCTGGAACAGTGATTGATAGAGGGGACGAATTTGAATCTGAAGCTGCACTAAAGAAACCAGAGATGGGGCTGTGGAAGGGGTCTTGGTTTAGAATATGTTCAGTATTAGAGGTGGTCATGCTGTATTGTGGGTTTGACAGTAAAAGACTGGGGCTTGGCTTTACACTGGCTGTCATGGGGTAAAATGAAACGGAATCGGGGCCTTGGCTTGTATTTCTTCCATAAACTGACTCAATCTGGTTGTCTTCAGGCCTCAAGCTAGTGCCTTGGATTGTGGTTGAACTGTCATTACTGCCTGTGTTGACAGTAGACATGGAGATGTGGCTTGAGCCTGGGGTGGTAAGACTGGATGTTGATCTGAGGTTATGACCTGAGTTGAGATATGCACCTTCAGTGCTTGGGTTAGGACCTAAGCTTGAGTTAAGGGGCGTGCTGGTGCTGGAGACTGAGCTGGGTTTGAAATATAAAGAAGAGATAGAGCTGGGGAAAAGAGAGAGGGTATAATTGGTAATAATGCCATTTGGTTGGGAAGGAGGAACCCAGGTAATTGTTAGACTTCTAGGATGGAGCCCTGATACAGCTGGAGTGTCCACTGGTCCCGGACCTGAGGGTAAAGAGAAATAAATAAATAAATAAAGAGACAAAAAAGCAATAGATAGTTATACTCTTTGTGTGCTTATAAAAGAGTGAAAGCAAAGAGAAGAAGGGGATTTGTTCTAAAGAATTATTTGACAAGTAAAATCACGAATGACATCAGAAGGACAAAGAGCGATTTTACTATCCCTATCCAAGGGATTAACATGAAAACTTTCTTTTTCTCTCAATTTCTCCCCCTGAGCAAACCATGATTGTATTTATGGATTTATGCAGTACTTGTGACTGTTTGAATGTGAGTCTGGGCATCTTTCAGTTGGGAGTTCAGGAGGTGATCAGTGGGCCAGGCTGGACTGCTAGGAGCAATGTAGGCTAACTTCGCACTGCCTTTGCTATACACAAGCACTGATACATGATACACACATATGGCCCATGATTTAAGTAACTACATTGAGGGATAAAACCGGGGCATAATATATGTAAATGATACACTTTAAGTTTGATTAAATAAGTTTATATGAAAAACTGAAGCATTTACTAAGTGTCAGCTCAGGAGACCAAACTGATTGCAAATGCATCACAACGCATCGTTTTCCAGAACCAGAGCTGTGGTCTCAGAGAGCGAGTAGATTTCTCATTTGGGTCCAGTGTGTATTCATGTTCACTGCCGTTCTCAATGCCCGGGAGTGCCTTCAATTCTTAAGTCCGTAAGGCAAAATGATCCTCTCAAGTATGCAGGTAGACAGAGATGCACATCAGAAGGCCACCTGCACACACACACATACACAGTCACAGGATGTGCACATGTCCATGCACGGATATGTACCTGCACAAGACTAGTCAGAGGGATATTTCACTCCACGGTAGCTCATTTGAAGGTAATGCCCCCTCCCCCCTCCTCTCCCGGCATTTACATCCCACTGTACTGCTCTATAATGGACACACACAGATGCGTGTCCATATACATAGACACACACTCTTCCTAACACACACTCACACACACATACATACACCCACAGTGATGCACTATAGCAGTAATGGTGCTGTGTGAAGGGCAAGCAGATCAAGGTGACTGAGCGGACTGAGGGAGCGTGCTGCGTCGCTAAGTGCTACCGCTAACCGCTAACGGCTTTCCCAGATGGCGGTGTGCAAGTGTGTGTGTGTGTGTGTGTGTGTGTGTGTCTGTAAGAGAGAGACAGAGAGAGGGTGAAAGAAGATGAAGATGAGAGAATCTGTGTGCATGACTGTATGAGAGATAAAGTGTGTAAGCATGTATATGTGTTTGTCAGCATACATGCACAGAAGTCAGCGGTTGTATAAGAATGTGTTTATTTTGCAGACTATCTACCAACTGATTGGCTTTATTACTTCACACAGACTGAGATGCCAACTAACATTCAGTGTTTGGTTCAGGATGCCCCGGTTCTCCTAAAAGTTTAAATTGTCTCTTAATATAATGTTTATTACGACTCAAATGTCTTTGAGCATTTGGATATTATGATTTTCAGTATATCTTCAGTAAATAGCCTGAGCCTGAGTTTTCTAGTACATTTAGCATGCAGCACAGCTTTTAACAATAAACCCTGATCTTCTGAAACAAATCTGCACTGATTTCTACTAATCTATTCTATATTGTATTTTGGCATAAGAAAGCAGGCTCGGTGTCTTTGGTGGTCTCTATAGAGAAGATATGTATTTACTGATAAATTACGCAAAATAAAGAAAAACAGGCGTATTTGACCATGTGTGCACAAACACACACAATATTATGTACAGTCAAACACAGAGAGAGGCACATTACAAGTTAAAAAAATTAAGATGGCAGCCAGCCAGTCACACAAACACTAACGCACACTTTTTGCATCTCCCACACAAATAAACAACAATATAAAAATAAGGTTGTAAAGCTTGGCTGATTTTACAGATCACAAATCGTGCCACCAACAACCCATCTTTCCTTCGATCTACATCTCCCCCACTGTCTGTCTGTATCTTTCCTTCCCTCTCTTTTCCTCTCTCTGACCCCTTCCTCTCTCCCACCACCTCTCTCTCATTTTCTTCTGCTCTGTGTCGTGGTCTCTCTCCCTCTTTCGCTTCCTCACTCTCTCCAGTCTCCCTGCTAAATAAACAATGCAGAGAGTTGACCTTTTGGGTTAACAGGTTTTTATGCTAGCTCTACTCAGCACTCACACTGATTCAATTACCACCAAAGGTCTACTGAACCCCACGAATAACCAAGGAGCCCGTCTTCCTGTCTGACTATGTGCATATCTGCCGGCCTGTCTGCGTGCCTCACTGCGCTGTCGTTCATCTTTGCGGAGAGTTGGGTTGTCTCTCTACCTGTTTGTGTAATTATACATTCTGCACCCTTCTGTCTATTTGACTAAATTCTTGTCTGCTGTTCTGTGCTTCCTTCGGTCCGTCTAATCAAAATGTTTTTAACAACAGATATGAAACAGAGATGCACAGAGAGGAAGACAGACAGATCGCAGATGGAAAGTCCTCAATTGTAAATAATTTTACCACAAAACACAATCCAGTCACCTTGATCCATCCCCTGTCAACCACCCAAAATAACCCCCACTGTCACCCCCCATTCCTCCCTCATTCCCTCTCCTCCTCCCCTCCCCCTCTGCCTCTAAGTGTTGAGTGTTATTTAGGCTTTACTGGCGCGTGTAAAATTCTGCAATTTGAAGGGCTGTTAAGTTTTTCAATTGAAATTTTCATTTAAGATGCAGGTGATGCTTTTTCTCTTTTTTTTATTTTACTGACGCTTTACTGCTCTCTGGATAGGACGGAACGAGTGTTGAGGGAATGTGTAGCAACCCCTCTCTCTCTAGTCTCGTGACTCCTTATCTCTCTTTCCCTCTTCCTCTCCTTCCTGCTCAACTCTTCTGTTCTTCTATCTCTCATCCTCCCCTTCCCAACTGCTCTTTTTTTCAACCATTTCTCTTCCCCCTGCCTCTTCGACCTCTTCATTCCTCATGCCTTTCCCTCTTTCTTTCCCGTCTCGCTTCATCCCTCCCTCCACACCTCCCACCCTTACTCCTCCTCTCTCCAGTAAAACACAGTAGCAGAAGGCTAAAACAGGAGTGCGGGGCCGCCAAGCCTTAAATCACATTTATAAGGATTTGGTTAGCATAGTAATAACACAATCAACTGACAAGGGCTGGGTGAGGGAAGGAAGGGAAGTGTGTGTGTGTGTGTGTGTGTGTGTTTGTCCGTGTGTGTGTGTGCATTTGTAGCTAAGGGCCTGTGTAGATTTAAGTGTGTACATCAGTGTATCCATGTGAAGAGAAGAGGAAGGGTATTATTTTTAGCCTTGCGCAGGGTCCTGTGTGTGCATGTGTGTGTTTGTGGAAATGTGTGTGACTGGGCTTTTGAAGGTGATTCGAGGCTCCTAGGAGTCATAATGAGGACAAACGCTGAGCTTTACTGTAATCAAGATGCTTACGGCATGGTGTCAAAACGTGACAAGCAATACGGGGAGAATTTACATTGCATTTCATATCTTTACTTTTTCTACAGATTATTTAATGTCATTGCTGCTTTAAGAGACACTGAGGAGGCAGTGGGAAAGAGGATGATGCATGACCAAGGTCATGAGCTTGATTTGTATCCATAACATCATGAGTATATGAGATGTACATTAGCCTTTAAGTAACTACGACCATCACGTTACCTAAAATGTCAATCATTCAAAGTTTTCAATATCCTTTTCAGACACTGACTATCTGGAGTGATTTACTTAATACCAGCTAACCTTCTGATGTATCTGTGTAGTACAGAAAGAGAACAAAAATGGTGCAAAGCTTTAAAAATAGAAAGTGGAAATGTGTGACAATATATTCAAGTTAGTGGGAACTGATTGTGTTTAGAAAAAAAAACATTTTTAAAATATAACAAAAGCTATTCTTCAGCATGTGACTGCTGCAGTTTTTATGTAGAGCACTGTATATTTACCCAGTATATTTAAAGGAAAAACAGATCAAAAGCACTGTGTAAATACGTTCAGGTAATGAGTATATAATAGTGTACATAAAATATTCTAGTTATCTCTTGATGTGCAAAATAACGATGGGGTTATGTTCACATTACTTCAAAATTTCCTTGGGACAGCTAACTGAACAGAATGCTGGGAAATAAGGTAGAGTATTATTTTATTAATGCAGTCACTCATTCATTAAATAACATGAATTCTTTGTGTTCTGTCATTACCTCTAACCTCATTTCTGTTGCATTTTTCTCCTTCACACTTCTTCTCTCTCACTCTCGGCTTTAGGTTCAGTTTGGTGAAACAGTGCTTCTTTAATGTTCTCTCTCTCTCTCTTTCTCACACACACACACACACACACACACACACACACACACACACACACACACACACACACATTTACTTTCTAAGACTGCTTTGCTAAGATCATTTTGTCGAAACGATGCTTTATTCATACTCTATAACACTCTATAACACACATATACACATCTGCTCACACAAGCACACACATACACTCTCTTAGATCACTTAGCTAGTGTGAACATGGGAGTAGACAGAGGAAAGGGAGCTGTCCAACATAGCTAGAGTTTATGTTCACAGGAGCCGTCTGTCTGTTCTGCAGCGGCAGGAATTCATAGGGACCAAATTACATTAAAAAGATGGATATAAAACTTTAATGGAATGATAAAAAGGAAAGGAGGACGCGTGGGTCTCTCTCTTTCTCTGTTCTGTCATTAGCCCTTGCTTTTCTTCTCTTCCTCTTTTTTCCCTCAATTCCTCATTTTACCTTTTCTTTCCGCACTTTTTCTCTCCACTTATTTTTTCCTCTATCAATGCAATATAAAAGATATGCCTGTATATTAAGATTTCCTGTATGTGTCACTTGAGGATATGTATATAAACTTGTGTGAGTTTCTGTGCATGTATGTTCACGTTGAAGCATGAATACTGCATGTATGAACTTGGCCTTACTATATATGAAACCATACTGAATGAAATGTAAAAGTGCTTGCTAAGGTTGTCATTTTTTGAAGTGTGTGGGAGAGGAGATTAGGAGGGGAATGCAGCCTTTCCTGTCACTGCCAAGATGACGAGAGGATGGGTTTATGGTGACAAATTACACATCAATGTTAGAGAAATCCAATCTGGCCGCACTTGGCTTTCTTCCATCATGGGTTTAAATCCCTTCTTATTAAAAGCTCCCATACCTGTCCTGTATTCTATTATTATGTTAAACGATTTCTTTTGTGCGTGCTTTAAAATGATTGGACATTTTCACATTTAAACAATAGTAGGTGTTGTATGTCCATGCATGGAAGTAAGATTTAATTGTAAGATGCAATACTTAAATTGTAAGAGAAATCTATGGGGATTATTATTTATGACACCAGGAGCTGTAAAAAGGGATTAATGTGTACAAAAGATATAATATCATTCAGAAAAGAAACCTGATTCCTCCTTTCCATATGTACTCTATTCATATGAACAAATTAATGAGTGAAACATACACACACACACACACATGCACACACACACAAAAGGACAGCATCCCAGTGTTTTGTGTTGATGAACCTGAAGTTATTTTAGACTATGCAACATTGATTTATGGTGTCTTGTTTTGGAGTCTTTCTTAACTTCAACCCTACTAGTCAAGAGGTTTGTACGCCTACAGTCAGAACACACAGTGTCGGCCTGTGTGTTTTGTCCTTTTGGGGATGAGTTTGTCTGCATGAACCTTCATGACTGTGTGTTATTGCTTGTGAGCATGAGGAGGTGTGTGATTGATAAGGAGGACAAGCGGGTGTGTGTGTATGACACATGTTCTCAGTGTGTGTGTGTGTGTGTGTGTGTGTGTGTGTGTGTGTGTGTGTGTGTGTGTGTGTGTGTATGGGGGGGCCTGAGAGAAGCAGAGAGATGGAGAAGGATGGACGTTTGAACGATGGGGCACAGTGTGACCGAATGGACACATCTATTACAGTCCGTACATACAGAGAGAGAGACAGAGAGAGAGAGAGAGAGGTAGATTTGCATACTTTCTCACACTCATACAAAAAACAAAAATACCAATATTGTCCACCTTATCTATAATTGTTGAGAACACAGAAAAACTTTTAAAAAAAGCTCACTCTGTTAAAGAGCGAGAGAGTGTGTGTGTGTGTGTGTATGTGTGTGTTTTTTCTAGAGGAAATTAAATTCTGAATATCAATGAGAAAAGCACAAGGCCATAATTTAATGCATCCTAAATGTCTGCAATTGTGTGTGTCTGTATGGGTGTATGTGTGCATCAGTGTGTGTAGCTAAACTTGTGTGTAAAGCTGCACATACAGTACATGTGTACATACACATTTCTGTGTGTACATGCGCATGTATGCAATGTATGCAAATCTCAGCTGCTTAATGATAATGTATGTGATAATAGCGTGGTACTAATTAATTTATAACTTTGCACTGAGGAGGCTGTTCCAGTGGCTAATATGATTCTATTACAGCAATTAGCCCACAATGACACTGGCTAGGTCACTCACACACAGACACACACCTTACAGTATGCAAATCTCACTCTGTCAGTGTGTTCCATCCTGTCTTGCTTGTGCCCATGTGACCAGCTTCTTTTAATATGTTCTGTCTCTTCTTTATAGTATTGTTCACAGTGACCGCCTCCACCAACACCAAGAAATGACACTTTTATCAATTAAAACCTTGGAAACTTTCAGAGAACAAAAGAAAACTGGGCAGAGGCTCTGTTTTTTACACCACAAGCCATATGTTTAATGTGTGAGGCTATTGTTTACATCATCACCTAAAATCAGGAGATCTGTCAGACTCATTGAGTTTAACTTTGACTCAGCAGCACTGACGGCCAACTGACGGCAGAGGCCAACTAACAACCAGCTGCTGCCAGCCACCTGCCAGCCACTCACTTGCAAAACCCGGCTGGACTGCTGACACAAGCACCCAGGCAGCACAATTCAGTATGAAAAAGCAATGCCAACAACCACTGCCAACAGGTAGCCTATAGAGCAGCAGTACAGAGTGTTTATCTGACCCAACAAGTTTGTGTATGACCACCAATATAATCATTTAAGTGTTTTCTATGGTTATTTATCAACGGCTTTTCTCTTCTGTTGCTTTAATATTGCGTGTGTGAACTGGAACCGGGTTGCATGCATCTGTGAGTAACAAGTATGTTACATTTTATGTGTGCCCTTGTGTGTATGAGTATGCATACTTACTGTCCTCGGCGGTAAGAAGGGTTGCCCAGGGGCCGACTGTCTGCCCATGTGTGTGTGAAACCACCACTCTAAACACATATTGCGTGTACGGTGACAGGCCCTCTATGTGATACGTAAAGGTGTCTGTTGCGTTTTCCATAAGCCTAGAAGTTGATGGACAGAAAAAGAAATACATTTAGGTGTCTGTCTGTCTGTCTGTCTGGTTTCTTTACTGTAACACAATGCCTGGCTTTTCGAAATGTGAATCCATGTTGACATGCAAGTCTTTAAACTTTTATGATTAGAAATATGAAGAACTTCGTAACCACAAGTTAGCAAAACTTTCATTTATAGTTGCCATGGATGCCATTTAGCTTGTTATATTATTAAATATATAGCAACACCTTAATTTCTGCCTTAGCCCAAATGTTTTCTCTATCAACCTTATCTTCCAGCTCTTGTTTTGCTCCTTTATGCCCGATCACAGATATTCAGCACTGGACAGCTCCCCAGAGTGTGTTTCTGCAGTAACAGTTTCTGTGGTCAGCTGATGTCTACATGATACATAGTGATTACCGTGGCTACAATAACATTTTAACTGCTTGTTCTTGTTAGACAAAATTTAAATGTAGATCAGACCTGTCCTTTTTTCTGATAACACAGAATAACCATGCTTCACACATTTAGTCTCTTATAGCGTATTTGCAGCAACCATTCCAGGATAAATTGTGTAGGAATCTACATAGTTTTATTCGTAGTGATCACCTCCACCAACACCATAAAATTAATACACTTTTATTAAATAAAACTTTGGAGACTTTCGGGGAATAAAAGAAAACTACAGCTACAACAACAATTTATGACACAGATCTTAACAACCACTAAGTAATTATTTAGTGTTCAGTATGAAAAGTTTACCTTTACAGCACTGATTTATACTTAATATTCTGTGTACGGAACATGCTTAGTCTATATTATAGTTTTTTCTGGAAATGAAAAAGTGTCTCAGACATAATGCATGCCATATAAGACAGTAGATCTTATTTCAAGATAACAACATGCTGTATCTGTTTTATGTAATCCACTATGCTCTTTCTAAATTAATTTAAGTGTTTAAGTGTTATGTTATAAAAGTGTCAGGAGACAAGTTTTATTTGGTCACGAAACAGTGAATATATTGGCAATATGTACAATATTTTCATAGCTTTTCATCATTTTCCCATGTCATACCTGATCCCATATCATATAATCATACAAAGGAATCTAGGACAAAGTAAAAGAATATTGTCATAAATGAGGGACCGTTGACCATTTAGCATCACATGGATAGAAGGGATGAATGAATGAATAAATCAGGGAACAATGAGATTTCCATAGCAGAGGAGGAGGAGGGCATGGCTGTCTGATATATAATACATGTAGCTAGTCATTTATTTATTACCACAGAATGAGAGCCTCCTCTTCTTGGATTAAATTGCAATTTGTTGTCAGGAAGCATGTAATGAATACATATCAGATGCACACCCTCTCTCTCTTTTTATTCTATCACATTTTCACTCTCTCTCCCACTGTCCTGCTTTGATTTTTTTTTTTTTGTCTTTTTGACTCTAACCCCCGTCTCTCCAGCTCATTTCCTCTCTGTTTTTCTGATGGTCTGTCATATTGATGTGACATATTCAGCTGTGCTGTATAATGTACCCCTTTATATGTACAGGAGTACATATTTATGTGTATAAATTTTTTAGGTGCATACTGTACATTTCATATGTATCTGAGAATCCTGTGTGTTTCTGTCATTCTCTCATTTTGTAATTATTTTTTGGTGAGTTTTATGCCATTAACTGATAAGGTTGACAGGAAAGGCGGGAGACAAAGAGGTGGTACACCATGAAGTAAACGGTTACAGGGTGGAATTGAACCCAAACCCGCGGCAGTAAGACATGGGCGCTGTCATTCTCTTATTGCTGTTTATCATTGAATGTTTCCATGTCCTGTGGACGACTGTGTGCAAACTTACTCCACTAGTTTATCTACTGTGTCTGCACATTTCATAGTGTATTTCACCTTATCACTGGCCTCTGTGGTGATGTCCTCATTTGCAGGCTGTAACGGAGTGGGCCTGGTGCGTTGGAGTGGGCAGGAGCAGACCAGGATACATTCAGACTGTTACTAGTTGCATGGGACAACCTCGGAGGTGACAACCCATCTGGGGCTATGAAGAGAGACAGAGAAACAAAGACAGGAGGTAGGAACAGGTGATGAAGGCAGAATGGAGATGGTAGGGATGGAATGAGGACAGCCAAGGACTAAAACAAAACTATTTCTTATAAATGAGGTGAGAGTGCCACAAAGAGCTGCTAGATTTGCTGATATACAACAACTAAAATGTCTCTCTCTCATTCACACCCACACACACAAATTTTACATAGCGTTATGACCCCGATCTCTCAAAGTGGCCCTCTTTTCCAGCTGCACAAGAACACGTAGTGCTAGTGTTGGGAAAATCAGTAAAAACATCTTGATTCAGGATGATAGCTGTGCTCTTAACAGAAACAAGATACGAGGAAAGACAACAAATATAAGGAGCAAATGAGAGTGACTGTAGTGTTGACTATGCGAAATAAGAGTAGGTCCTCTGATGTATAAAGTGACCCTTCAATCAAACACACTGCTCTCTTTCCACTACAAAAAGACTGATTGCTGAAGACAGCTTAGCCTAAAGATGGCTTTTGCAAACATACACACACAGTATGTGGAAAAGTGTGTATGACGTGTGTGTGTGTGTGTGTGTGTGTGTGTGTGTGTGTGTGTGTGCAGGCTTCATTATTTGTGCATTTTTGTTCGAGGCCCACCTGTGACTCTTTCTCGTCTCCACCAGTTTTGTCACCACCCTTGTGTCCAATTAGTCCCCCCCCTTGCTCTCTCTAGGGGCTAAAGAGTTTTTGACTTATTTCTTATTATTCTTTCGCATAGCTTGGACAACCGAAAACGCAGAGACACATGAACAAAAAATTAAGGCCTGAATACATAAAAAAGTAACAAAAACATTCAGTATTTAAGGACATCAAGTTCAGTCTGTGTTTCTTATCAATTTTATAAATACTCTACCAGCAGTCAGTTGATGGCACTATGTACTATGTGATTTTTTTTGCAAGCATAATGCTTGTCAGTTAAAAAGTTCAGTTTAGAATCTTCTTTTTAATATATATATTTTTACAGCTAGAATTGATTTGACAAATTATTGGATCAGTAAGATAAAGCCATCCTTTAAGTTTAATCAATACAATATTTTTGAAACCTATGCCTAGTTGGTAGGTTTTAATAAAGAAGACCCTATTATAGATAGGCAAAATGGTCATTCCCTGAGTGTGAGTAATTCTTGAAACATGCGTTGATTTCTGTGTTTCTGACACACACCAACACAGAGACACAAATACACACACACACACACACACACACACACACACAGACACACACACACAACACATACATCACAAAGACACACACGGTTGGTGAGCCTGTGTCTCTTTCATGGTGTGTTAGCAGGTACAATATCAGAGGTGTCACTAATCGTTTTAAACTATGCACTTTTATGTTCACTTCTCTCTCTCTGCTCTCCTCCTCCTCTGCTCTTCTGTCTCTTGCCCCACTATCTCCTCTCTGTTCTTTCATAGAACAAGGACGCATCAAGACAGTTTGCCTTAAAGAAGTCTAAAGAGATGCCAGAGGCACAGAGGTAGAAAGAGAGATAGAAAGAGAGGAAACGTCTGGTATTTAAAATTTATACTTTCTTATGCCTTTGTTTTGAACTTGAACAGTAGAACTTTCCGAAGTCTGTCTTTTGTTGTTTTCTGACTGAGACATGGGTGTGGTGTTGTGTGCGTATGTATTCAACACTTTCGTTAACATTAGTTAAAGTGGTAAAATGTGTGTCTATGGGTGTGTGTGTGTGTGTGTGTGTGTGTGTGTGTGTGTGTGTGTGTGTGTTGCTGCCTGGTTACCATTATTCCAGACTGCTCTGATCAGCTTTGACATTTATCAGTATTCACAATCAGCCTCTATTCTAAACAATTATAAACACACACAGCACACACACATACGCTGTGTAAATCAGAAATCTGTTCAGACCATTAAGTAAAGTCAATGGTGTGTGTGTGTTTGTGTCTGTGTTTGTCACAGCTACTCATTGAATAATTGTTTCTGTTTCTTCTGTTGCATCGCAAGCTATAAAAATGAACCTTTCCAGTTCAAGAGAGTAGCAATTAAAATCAGATTAATGAGATAAAAATGTTACAATGGTTCATGCCTTATGTGTAGAGTTAGAAACCACAATTATAGCCACTTCACATCACATCAGAACATACACAGTTTAGGGGTGTAGAAAAGTGCCTTATTATGATGGAGGCCATAAGCATACTATCATACTCCTATCCCTGCGATGACTGTCACATTTCTTTGTAAAGATTTATCAGAGAGGCCTGTATTATGTTGATTGTTTCCACACTATATTTCTTATTGAACCCACTTATGCAAAAACATCAGCTGTGATTTTAAACCCATTTCACAGTTAAAAAAAAAAATATTTTCAATAATAATTTAGTACAATTTATAGTTTGATAGCTTTTGTTCGCACGGTAAAGCCATTCCACACATGTATCCTTTGCTCTTTGAGGGCTGACAAGCCCATTGATCAATTAGCTTCAGAAAGATTTCATGTCATGTTGGCTGTACAATACATGTTGACAGGTCATGCCTATCAACATGTGCCCTGCCTACGCTTACTGGCAGCCAGTCTGAAAACATCACATTACCCCCCAACTATCTTACCAATATCAGTTTGATAAATACATTTGAAGTGAGAATTTTGCCATGCAGTTGCACATTAACTCATTAACTCCTCATTTTCAATATTTATGAAGGTGATGAGTCACTTTATTACATCAGTACAGTATGTAGTGTCATTATTAAATCATTGTCAAGTTTGTAAGATGTAGTCTGGTGGTGGGAGGAGAATCTTTTCTGTATCTATGTATGTACCTGCTGGGGGTGTGGTAACACTGAGTGGCAGGCTCTCAACACAACCCTGTGTGTTACAACCTCTGATCCAGAAGCTGTAGTTGGTGTAAGGCTGTAGATCAGTCACAGACAACCAGCTGCCTGCTGCTGTACTTCCTTCCAACACACCATCGCCATCTATAAGACAGAGAGTATCAAAAAAAAGAGACATGTAAGGTCTTAGGCCCAGGTCTTAGGTCTTATATATCTACTGAGGAAGAAGATAACATATCAATAACATAACAATATCTTGCACAGGTTGTTTTCATGGAAGTTTATTGATTAGAGTAATCAGTGTGATGGCAGAAAAGTGATTCATAAAAGATACATACAACATCAGAGGAAAATGGAGGAGAATGAGTGAGAGTTCAAGGGAGAGGAATACTGACTGAGATTAAGGGAGAGGAATACTGACTGAGATTAACTGAGAGTGATCAAAAAAGAGAGGTCTCCATATTGAGGTTATGCAAGGATAGTCAAAGAAAAGGGATCTGAAAATTACACCATGTAAGCCTAGCCAATATATTTAGATGGTCACACACACACACACACACACACACACACACACACACACACACACACACACACACACACACACACACACAAACATATATCAGTTCTGTGTGAACTGATGAAGGCAGTGTGTATCAAAGAAAACAAGGGGTTGTGGGTAACTAGAGCGAAACACCATTTCTCTCTTTCTTCCACACCTCTTCTATCCTTCTCTCCACTCATTTTAATATCTGTCTGTTGCTGAGGTGCAGATCAAAGTCCCTGACTCTGTGTGCATGTGTGTGATGGGGAGAGAGAGAGAGAGAAAGAGAGAGAGAGAGAGAGAGAGAGAGAGAGAGAGAGAGAGAGAGGATCAGAGAAAGAGAGTGTTAGTTAAAGGATGTGTGCATTCTGCTCCTTTTCTCTACTTGTTCCATTTTCTTCTTCACCTTTTCTTTCCATGTCTAGTTTTCCTCATCTACTTTGTTAGTCTCATCTGTTGTTTTGTTGGTCTTCATATCTTTGTTTTTTACCAGCTATCTAATATATCTATGGAAATATGAGCTCTCCATCTCTCCTTTCTCTGTATACTATTGTTTACCACTACTTGTCTTTGTTATTCCTTCCATCTTCATACTACTGTTTTGCACTACTACTCCTCTCCTATCTTAAGTCACTTGCAATTTAAAAAAAAAAATCTTGTCTTTTCTACACCCCTCTGGTTTGATTACTCCTTTCACCTTCCCATTTCATGCCTGACTTTCAGTCCAAGTTGCCCTTGTTGGTGAGTTGGCAGAGTGTGTCTATTAGTCTTTAAAAAGCCACTTGACTTAATAATATTAATTGTGCTTACTGGAAAGCAGCACTGCCTAGTGTACTATGTAATATGCCTGGGAACTATGCATATAATTGAAAACATACTTAAAAAAAACATACTGTATCATAAACATGAACACTTTTCTGACGGACAAAATGTGCTGTCAATACTCCTTGATGATGATGAAAACAGTGTATCCTGCTGTGAATCCTCTCCAACCTCTCTGTTTTGTTGTGAGGAGAGAATTGTTTTCTACAGTACAGGAATTAGGAGTTGCATGAATTAGAATCTAGCCAGGAGAACAAAAATCAAGTACAATATATCTCTATTTCTATCTTAAAGTTAACACTTTGAGTTTTATTTGAACAAACACCATTTCACAAATAGTTTTAGCAAGTGTATTTTAGATGTTTCAATTTGAAAAGGAAGCTCTGCATAGAAAAAATATCTCTGGCATTAAATGTCAAGGCCCAAGCTAGAACTCTTGTAAGTCCTTTGAACTGAATCTCTAAACAAGTCCCTTCATATGCAGCTTCTTAAGTTTAGAACAAACTTTACAGATTCTGCAGTTGGTTTTCGATGGACTTGTGTCTAAAAGCATCTCTGAAATGCTTTAATGATAATTTTTCTTCACGCTTTGACAGCATCGACCTGCCAGGAGTGAGACCTATAGCGAAACAGCTTTTACTGTCCACCTCTAGTTTTTGTGTCTACTTCTTCAGCCTCCAGAACAGCCTGACTTTTTTAGCTTAGGTTTTGAGCTTTGAGTAATGATTTGGTATATATGGCTTCTTACAATCCCCCTAAATATTATATGATTTATATGATTAACTGAACAGCAATGTGTATAATGTAAAACTAGATTTATAGTGAAGCCTTACAGAAACTGCAGCCAAGGTTTAGTGGCAAATGAGGGTGTCTTTCAGGCACAATCTACATTTTGTGCCTAGTGAGCAAATGTGTCAGAACTGCAGTCAAATTTGCAGAATATGTGAAACTGTGTATTACCTGTGCATCTGTAAAATAATATGTAACTTCTTGTTTTTATGCATATATGCTGCTGTGCGTGTGTGCTCAGGTTTAATGTAGGGCTGTTCCCTAATAGTCGCCGAGAAGAGAAGAGTCTTGAAGAGTTAAGCTACTTTTCATTAGTTGGATAGTTGCAGAAAGCCTTGTCACAAGGATGAAAGTATCAGGGGACAGTAAACTGACTGTATCCGTACTGCAAGCTCAAAGTACTAGTAGAGGCTTGTTTGCTTTGGAAAGCCAGGAGTAGGAGGCTTTCAGACCCGGGGCGAGGAACCCAGCTGTCGGATAGAGGGGTCGGAATGAGCACCATAGTCAGAGTGGCCAAGCAGGCAAAGGAGCTTAGCAGCCTCTCAGTGATCATGGCCGGGATCGAACACAGCCTCCGGAACCACCAGTTGATTTACAGCAGCTCCAACCAGGACTAAGTCCAGGGACGACAAGGCACAGCGGGTTCAGGCAGGGATAGCGAGTTTTTAAGTAACGTTATACATAATCCATCATATCAATAAGTCTGTGAGTATTTTTCTTTTGCAAAGTTGGAAGTTATCTATTCCGTGTTTTAAACAGTGAGACTTGTATGATGTTATACTGTGATGAAATAAGTTAACCAAATGTTCAGCCTCTTTGCTGGTTCTGATACGTTCAGATTCATTACCGCTTTTTCCGTCATCATTTAACAGGTGGGCTGTTAAAATATATATATTTAAATAATGAAACATTTGGCGACTTGTCAACTAAAGGCTTGATCGTCTACTAGGAAAAAACTTAATTCGGGGACATCTATAGTTTAAGGTTTATATGGTCTCTATATGTTACCTTTGCTTTTGTAGTACACTGTGTAGCTGAGGTTCCCATTTGGCCTAGGTGGGGCTGTCCAGCGGGCTCGGATTGATCGAGCACTCTGATTGGTTAGTTCCAGCAGAATAGGGCCTTCTGGGGACATCTCTGATGTACGGATCTCCACCTGATTTAAAAAGAGATAAAGAAAATACACACTTCATACTTATGTTGAAATGCACATATACACGAACAGACACAGGCACTGTAGCACATACACATACAAACCATGCACAGTATTTTACTTTTTTTACTGTAATTCTACTCACTCATAAAAAACATAATTAAATCTAACCCATAATTTCATAATCATGGCTACCAGTTTTCTATCTTCTTTCTTTTATCTCCTTTCTCTCTCCTGCCACATTCCCCTCATCTTTTCTCTCAATCCAATCTTCTCCTTCTCTTTCCACTATCACCATGCTCTCTTCTTCAGTCTCATTTCCTCCTGTCTCATTCTCCTGTTTCTCTCTCCTCTGCTGCTGTTCACATCCTCACTTTCCACCTCATCTCTCACTTTCCTCTGACCATTTACTCTATCCTCATCATTTCACTCTTTTATCACTAAACTCCCTCCTTCCCCGACTCCTTTCTTCTCCTTTTCCCGTCCATCCTGTCATCTCCTCCTCTTCCCCCCTTCATCCTGTCCTTACCCCTCCCCTTCCCACTTTCCTCTCCTCCTGTTCCGCTGTGTCAGCTGTTCTCCTGGTGTTTGACTAAACATGGCGTCCGTATTGGAAAAATGCCCCAAAATATGGCCTGTCGTCAGAGACATCGTTGAGCGTGGAGTGGCATTTCCTACCAAATGTCACTGTCTCCACGCCAACCCACGTTATTGAGCTGAGAGAATCGATCACCTTTATGACGCCCAGTGACACACACGCACACAACCCACATACACTTTGTAAATGTCTGAGTAGGCATGTTTTTGTGTGTTGGTTAGTTACAACAATAATCTGCATTATAAATATGTCAGTTTTGCTGTTTTGTTTCACCAACTGATATGATATGATTCATCCAATAGAGAATTTTATGAAACTTTATAGATCTAAGAGCCTGAGAAGTAAGCTCAGAAGTACAGAAAAAAGAAGAGTTTTTACAGAAATTTCAAGGATTTTCAAGGACTATTATTCCCAACACTGCAACACCACAACAAGGACTTGCATGCCTAGTTTCAAAGATCTCACAAAGGATCTTGCAGTTACTTGTATTAATTAATAAATTCAGTGAGTTTACTAGTAAGACATTTACTGACCATTGGTCCCTTCCCACAGCCCCGTGCTGTGCAGGCCTGCAGCCTGAGTATGTGTCGGCTCCATGGAGAGAGTCCCTCCACCACAAAGAACCTCTGAGATGAACTGGAGTTTAAAATGAGAACTCCATCCAGCCAGAGACCATAGCTGGTTATGATTCCTGTCAAAAGAACATATCGGATTATGACCTGTATGAGATACAGAACAAAAATAAAAATGACAAACCACTGTAAGTCTGACATCTTAGCCAGGCCAATAAGGTTTGTATGAGTAGTTCTGTACAGCACATAATTAGTTTTGCATGTTAACAATGTGTTGCTTTCATTCTCTGCCCTGGACCTCCTCTTTCACTACTACATTCAAAACACATAACCTTGACTCTAATGTCTAACTATATAAACTAAATATTTCTATATAACTTAAGATGATGTCCACACTTTTGATACATTTTTTAAAATCAATTCATTTAAACATGGTGTGACAGTATGACAACACATCTCTGTTGCATCGTTACTTCAGAGTGTGTTACACATTGTTTTGGGAATAAGTTTCAGAAATTGTTTTATAAGACGTCCAGATTTTTTCTGATGCTTTTCAGGCACTGTTGGCATTGGTCACTCATACATTGCACGACTTTGTTCAGACTATGAGGAATTCTAATCACAAAGTGAGCCTGTTGGGATGCAGTCTGGGTCATTGGATTACAATGCAAATGAAAACTGACTTAGGGGCTCCAGACCTGCCAGTCAGTGTGTCCTAGTGTGATACAATGATGAAAACAGCACTGAAACGACAAATGTAACCATAGGCGTTACGAGGATAAAGGCCCTCAGAAGGACAGCAGTACTAGAGCGAACATGCACGCACACACACACACGCACACACACACACACACACACACACACACAAACGTGGGTGCAAATAGGTGCGCACACACAAACTCATACACATGTCCACAAACACACACACACATATACACAGGGACAATTACATTACATTACATCCACCTAATAAAAAAAATGAAACAGTACGGTGCCAAATGTGCTTTTCCTTAATAAAAATGCATACAGGGGCTCAAAAGATCAGTGCTAAGAACTAAGAGTCTATTCTGCTTTAATCATGTGTGGGTTTTATTATTGCTCAATACAGATATACACACCTATCAGGGAAATGAAGACACAAAAACCCCACGGACGCCAACTACATCTGGGAAGCTCTTAATGTGACCAATCACATGCGTGTGAGTGTGTGTGTGTGTGTGTGTGTGTGTGTGTGTGTGTGTGTGTGTGTCTATGAGTGCGGACATCTCTGTGTGCTTGTGTGTGTGAATAAGCCCATATCAGTATAGGTTGTAATAAAGACAGGTTGGGAAATGAAGCAGCGAATGCATAACAGGCTTATTTCCCCTCTTTGTCTGCGTGTTGCCCCGACCTAATCCCCGAGAGGATTATCCCCCACAAATCCCTGCGGAATTGGGGAGAAGGGGAGGAGAGAGAGACACAGAATCTCACTCCTCTGGAACCCATCACCATCATCATCGTCATTGTTGCCGTCCATTTATGAAAAAAAGAGTAAATGGGGAAAAAAAGGCACTGAGCTCTTCTCCCCTTTTAAGCAAAAATTAAAGCTTTTTAAGCATGAGATAATCGGGTAATCATGATTAAGTGTCTCCTTGTTATGAATTTCTGTCATCAGATGAGAAAAGCTTTAAGTAATTTATCCAGGCTAATATGCACACACATCACAGGGTTTATGGTGCGAAATGCACTCATGTGGCATTAAGCGTAAAACACACATGATTCACATTACAAACACACACGCGTTATGGAATTGCACATACTTTAACGAGCATGGCAGTAACATTTGATAATATGTGGCAGTGCGTTGTATGTTAGAGACTGTGAAATGGGGTGGGAAATCCTCAGATAGTTAATATTACTCTATTCATCTGGTTTCATAAGATGTGCTTTGGTTAATATAGTTCTTGATAATTCATGTTAGTGTTTGATTTGTAAGAAAATAAAATAGTTTCACTATACTATGTGGTAGATTATGTTACTTGAAACTTTTATATTTTACTTATTTGACAGCGTACCTAGATGAACTATGTTCCTTTAAGACACAAGGACATCGGATTGCTTGATGTATGTGCTATGTGTTGACCCTTTATACAGTGAGTATTCAAATTTCATAATAATGTGTTTCATTGCCTTTTTTCAATGTATTTTGGGGAATTTTTGTGCCTCTATTTCAAGCAGTGGGGTGATAACAAGAAACCCTAACCCTTACCTGGCCGGTTGTATTACAGTTCACGGTCAATAGGAACTATGGGGGTGCCCAATGTTTCACCTTTTGAAGGTGTTTTTAAAAATATGCACTTTGTCCTTAGATTTCATAAAGATTTTTTTCAACTCTCTTGTTTGTACATTATTATCTTAATTCATGCTTACGGTGAAGATAAACGATTGCATATTGTAGATTCCTGAATGCTTAATGTGTCAGTGACATACATTCAAATATAACAATGTGACGAGGCCCAGAGTAAGCAGTACTGCTTTAGACTATTTGCAATATTGAATAGTTTTACAAATGTTGACACACATTAGTATATTATGTAGCTAAAAAAAATAAATTCATGCACTCTAATTCCAAAACTTTATGCAGGAAACTCTTCTGTCAAAACCTTTGAATCTCTTTATTCAAAAACATCTGCCCACAGAAAATAGTTATGCACAAATAATAATATTTTTTTTATCCAGATCCATCCAATATATTTGAAATACATCTTGGTCCAGTAAATTAGATGGAGGTAAGAATAATAGAGAACACCTAGAGAGAGAAAGGTAGTCACTGTGAGTCTGTGTGCTTCCAGCCTGCAGTTCTCTATTCAGTCAAAAGGGAGCACTTTTCATCCACTTAAAGGAGCTTGGTGAAGCACTGCCCTCTCACTCCCGGTCTCCGTTAGTCTCTGTCTCAAATTGTATGTTCTCTCCCCCGTCTTTGTCTCTTTCCCCTTTGGTCTCTCTTCCTGTTTTCCTTTTCTCTAACTGTTTTAGCTCTATCTCTTGCATACTCATCTAATTCCCTGCGCAACGGTATAGGTCTTCATGGTCTTATTTGATAGACTGGATTATGGTAAATACTGACACCTTGTATTCAATTCCACAGTCCAACTATTGTCACATGTTGTTATCATCATGATTCTTGTTAATATTTCTCCTTTTCTACATGTTTTATCTCACTAGTTTCCAATCACTGTTTCCATTAAAACATATTTTTAAAATATTGTCACGTTGATGATTGAAGGCTTGTGTGTGTTTGCGTTTATTTAGCTCAAATTTGACCTTATTCTAAATGTCACTGTTGATAAATGTTTATGTGTGTTTGAATATTTTTGATCTCTCTGTATGTGCCAGGTTGAGCGTGTCTCCTCTCACCATTCGGAGTGTCAAGAGGTGTCCAGCTGACGTTGAGTGCATGCGGGGACAAAGGGGTGACCAGTGGTGCAGGGACATTCTCTGGGGTGCTCTCCTCAGTCTGAGCCTGGCTGGGAGGGCTTAAGGTACACCCACCTCCTGTGCAGGCCTGACATAACCACACACACCAACTCATTAATGTATAGATAAATGTGACGATGCAAATCAAAGAGATGAAAGAGTAAGGGACTCACAGCGACTGTGATGGTGTAAGCTGTTCCAGGGGTTAGGTTGCGGAGTGTGTGGTCTTCAAAAAGTTCTGAGCTGTTATAGGCCAGCACGGGCTCTGAGCCGTCATGTGACAGGAAGATAGAATAGAATTCCAAAGCACCGTTGACTTGAGAGGGACGTGACCACCTAGAGAGGGAGAGAACAATCAAACACATTGACTATGGTACTATACTGTAAGTTCAGATTTCCGGGACCAGAACACTTCTATAATGTCCTATTTTCTCATACCTTTTTTGTCCTTTACTGGATTTCAGAGGATTTTACTTATTATTCAGCTATATTTATATATTCATCAAAGAGTGGTATTGTCAATTTAATTTGCAGATTCAACATTTTCAAATGTAAACTTTTGGTAACACTTTATTTGGATAGTCAGCCTACAGATATTATTTGTAACATATGCTTTCCCTTTAGATGTTTGACTATAGAGTATATATAATTCATGGTAAACCTCTTTACCATGAAACTCTATTGAAGTTATTATATTGGCGTTACACTGCACAGGTATTTATTGTGGAATAGCACCATTAAGATTCTTAAAATAAGATTGTGAGAGAGTATCTGTGGGCTTCCCCGGCAGAGCTTTTGTTCTATGACTGCACCAGAGTGCTGTGTTTGTGTGTGTGAGCACACATTTGTGTGTTTTTCTCATTGTGTCTCCAACTGCAAGTAGATTGAAACACAATGCTGAGAGCTGAGGTTTCTTACACACACAGTTTCCTTTGTATGGCAGAGGTGTCTCCTTTTCTATATTTAGAACAGGAAGGTCATCCCCAACAGAGAGAGAGAGGGAGAGGATAAGAGAAAGTATTTATAAATAGAAACATGTTGATTATCCATTACAAAATGTGAAAGAGAGAGCACTATGGACCTAATGTTAGCTACATAAATTATATTGTAAATAACCTAAATAATTAATTAATGCTAAACTACAGTTGTAGTATTGTTTCTACCATATGTATTTTAATAAGTGATTTGCTTGAATGCGACTTAATGGTCTTTTTAAATGCAACGTACTTTGTGCTTGTTGAAGCTTCAACTTTTTAAAATAATATGTTTATTATTATTAGCTATGAAAAAGTTGGGCAGTCGTTGAAAAATCAGAGGTAAATGTTCCTGAAATACAGTGCTGTAGAAATATTGTTTTGAAACAGGGATATACCTGTGATTTACATGTGTGTTTTATAAATGACGACCCACTCCACAATCCATCACTTCATACAAAATCCAAAGTACCTGATAAGATTATGAGAATAAAACAGAAAGTAAATAATTACTAAATCAAAGAGCACTAAAACGTGTTTTATAAATAGTTCTGCCATTCGTACAAATCCCTGAGAGTAACCCAGCCCTCCTGGCATGGTAGCAGAGGGAGGCCATTTTAAAAAGTGATGGATTCCTTTCTTGGTTCCTCCCATTAAAAGCCAGTTTTTGAATGACTGATGAGTGTGTGTTAGCACACAATTAGCCACTGTGGCTAATCTATCACATTTATTATAAGATTTATATGCTGTCGATTGGCAGTGTGATGTATGTCCACTTTTGAAAAACTAAATCAAAGGGGAGTTGTAATAATCTGTATCATAATTCACTGCGGTAATGGTTTTAGAAAACCATTGGTTTTAAAAGTGTGTTATGAAATTAGTGTGAAACAGATGTGTGCTTTCTTAGCACCTTAAATTGAAAACCATACACTATAGATGCATTAGGTTCAAATTCTGCATCACAATCTAAGAAGTGTCAACCTTTGTCCTGCACCTTCCCTCTCTCCCATCTTCCCTCCTGTTGTCTACATTGCACACTCAACAAAACAGCATTGGTGCCATCAAATAATTAGTAACAACACATACAAGTATTGAAAATAAAAAAAATAAAAAATGAGAAAAAAAAACCCAAATAGGATTGTTTTAGTTAAATATCATGTGTCCCATCAGGTTTTCTATGTATTTTTAATTGTGTACATGTCTGATAGTGTGAGTGTTTTTGCAGCTGTGTTTGCTTGTGTGTGTTTGTGTCAGGTGAGGTCAGGGAATAGATCTGCGGATATTGTTTTGTTGGCATCCTGCAGCCTCCCTCAACCTTTCTCACAGTCTCTCACCCTCACCCTGTCTGTCTCTCTCTCTCTCTCTCTCTGTCTCTCTCTCACACACACACACACACACACACACACTCACACATACAAGCTTGCGCGCACACACACTATTTCACTTTCTTTTTAAACCCCTTCTCTCTGTTCTTTCCTTAAAAACATTTTTCCGCCCCTCTTTTATCCTTCTCTTTCTTCACATTTTTCCAAAGCTTTTCCTCTCTCTTTCTCAGCCTTTCTCACAGACACAATAGAGATATTGACCAAGTATGATCTCTCAACCTCTGCCTATTACCGATGTGCTAACAAGGCAATACGCAGCCTTCCCACACCTAGTGAATATATAGGTGAAAAACATTTTAAAGACTCAGGGTTTGATACATATCCCTGTTCTGTCGACAGCAGTACTCTCATGGATGATGTATTACACCCAGTAATTTGTATTTCATGTTGTCAACTGTCTACAGACTACAGATAAAAAACTTGAGCTTGTTTACTTTGTATGGAATTACAGGCCTCATTCATAAATTAAATGATGAAATAATTTGTCAATGTTTTTATTTTCAAATATTCTGTGTAAGAAGAACATTTACATGTGGTCAGAAACACTGATAAACTGATAGGCATAAATCCATACTATGTTTTGTGGCTCCATGGAAACACAACTGACTGACTGAAAAATATAACCTATTCCAATAAAGTTACTATTTAAAAAAAAACTTTTTCCTACTGTTCCGATTTCCTCCAATGACAGCTTGCATGCCTTTAACACATATTCAATTTTGGATCGATCCTGATGTTAGATAAAAAGAAATAAATTATGCCTGGGCACGTTTTGTGAATCACACATGGGGTTATTTTCAATTTTCTCTTTTGAAATTATTCTGAACAAATTTAAGAGGAGGAAAAGTACTTGAGGCACAATGAGTCAGTGCCTCTTTTTATCACTAAATCACTCCTACAGTACATTCAGCTAGATATGCTTGTGTGTATGTGTTAATGTGCACTGCTTATCCAAGACAATCAAAGCATTACCCAGATCATCCCATCTTAACCATAACCTCACCATTTTTCTCTCAGACACTGTGTGCTTTTATATCACTCCTTCTTGATCCTCTTACTTACCTCGTCTATTGTTTAAGAGTGTGTGGACATGCCTGTTGGTGTGTGTGCTCGCGTGCATGTATGAGTGGCACTGTGCCCTCCTGTGGTGAGTCCCACTGTAAGTGACAGTCAGGACACTAATGGCTTTCACGCAGATTGACTCTTACGTACACACACACACACACACACACACACACACACACACACACACACACACACCAGGAATATTTGCAGAGATCTATCTTCCTCTGTCCCCTCCCTCTAGAGGTGAAAGGTCAAGTGCAGAAGAATATTCTGCATGGTAAACACAACTGCAGAAGGTCACTGGCTCTCACTTGCTTTCTTCCTCTGTCTCTGTATTTTACACAAACACAACATAAGAAATACATATGAAAAGCTATAACATACCCTGAATTACTTTTATTGTTACCCTGTCCTTTTCAGTGATGCTAAAACAGTGAATACTCACTTGCATTTGTGAGTTAATGCTTTGTTAAAATCTGAATCAGAATCGGAAATACCTTATTGATCCCAGAGGAGAAATTTGTTTGTTAAAGTTGCTGAAGGTGCTCACACAGTGTTAAAGAATAGAAATACTATTAAAGCAACAACAACGACAACAACACAACATCCACATAGACTGTGTACAGCAGTGGTTCCCAACCTTTTTCTGTAAGGGACCCTTTTCTATCATTTAGTAAACTGATGACCTCTGACTAAGTGACATATTTTATGGATATTTCATATTAATTTGTATTAATGTATTATTAATCCAAATAGTTAACTCAGTAACTGCAAGAAGTTTGTGTAAAACGAGTTATTTGGCTGAATTTTGAGCATATTATTTCCTGTTTAGAGAACTTTTTATACAATTCTCTGTACTGTATATTTGTTTTTTATCATTTTTTACAATCATACAGACTTAATAGGCCTCTTTTTTTAGAAATGCAGCATTGTCCCTAGTGCTTGGTCATTTCTCTATTAGACAATTTACTTTACATTTACTTTTCTTCACATATGTGAGATATAGATATGAGATATAGGCCTATTGTGTAAATTTCTCTGTGCGTGTGCAAGTGTGTGTGTCTGTGCGCATGCACTTACTCTACCAGAATAGTCCGCGAGTCAAGCAGGGTAAGAGTTGGAGCTTGTAGAGGCCCAGGAGGAAGCTGAGAGGTCAGCATAGTTACTTGTGAACTGTTGGTGCAGCCCACTGAAGTGCATGCACTCAGTACAAAGACATGGTTGGAATACACTCCAAGACCTGAAAAACACACACACATTCACCAAGACAGCAAGAGATAGAGAGGCATAAAAGTAGGAACAAACACAGGCTATGGCTCAAATACATAAAACAAACATCATAAACTAAGTTGCTCTCACAACTTTGACCCTCATTTAACAACGACCCCTGAATTCTGTCTCTTTTTTACAGAAATATTCCTGTGTCCCTCCCTCTCTCCTTTTAGCTCTGTTTCTTAATTGTTGTTTCTCTTTCAGTGTCTGTATCTTTGCCTCAAAACTATTCTCCATCTGTCTCACTGTTGCAATCTCACCCTCTGTAACACGATCTATTCTTGCACATACCGTATAATTACTACGTCCATAATCCTTCCAATCACTGTGAACATCAGACACTCGGCATTATTAACTCAGCATGGATGATATGTGCTCTCATGCATTCATTAACTTACAAAGACACACGCATACAGTGTTGGGCAGTATGATGTTTTGCTAAGCATGTGAGTGTGTGTAAAATCGAAATGAGTGATAATCTATTCTGCTCATATAAAATGCCACATAGGATGACTCTCCTGTGTATGTGAGCCTGTGTACATTCCTGCATACCGTGCGTGTGCACATGCTCTATTGAGAGTGTATCTTGTATGTGCATGTGTGTTTGTGTGTCTCGGTGTGTGTGTATCTATCCTGGTATCCTGGTGCAGCACTCTAGTCTCAGTGGTGTGACATGTGTTTCGTACCTTCTTTAAGTCTCTTTAGTGAAAGCTTTCAAAGCCAAGTGTGTGTATGCATATGCGCTAATGTTTAGTGTTCTTTGTTTCTCCGCTGCTTCATTTTCATGTGTGTGTGCATGTGTTTAGCGTTCTTTTTCAAAGTGTTATTCCCTTGGTAAGGACTGAGATGCTCTTTCCTCTTTCAAATGCTAATCCCCCACTCCATTTTGCTTTTTCTTCACTCTTCCGTTTGTCTTTACACCGAGGCCCCATCCCTAAACATGCACCCGCCCCCTCCTCTCTCTCTCTCTTACCAGTGATGTTGTGTTGTCTGTCTTTCCCCCTGTAGACTATTTGGTTGTTTTGATAGAGGAGGTACTCTGTAATGCCTCCATTGGGCCTATCATTGGAACAAAAAAAGTTAAATGAGGGTGATATTATTGTTACATTTAACATATTTTGAAGTTAAACACATCTTTATTCAAGGTGAAAAAATGTAGGCTAAATAAAAGGTGATACAATTGCCATTATTTTGCAACATGACGTTTGTTTTAAATACGGTTTAATTTACGAAAATGCCCTGATTCATATTGTATTGAAGTAGCAGATCAGAAAAGACATTTATAATAACATGTTGTCCATCAGTAATGGCTTTATGATACAAGATGAGGTGTGTATTTACCTATGTAAAAACTTAAAACTTGCTCATGAACAGCATAACAATGACAGACAAAAAGTGTTTTGGATATGAGAAGGGAGATGGGTAGGTGAGACTATGTATTGTGTTATTACCTTGCTGGAGGTTCCCAGGTAACATAAAGAGCTGAGGGGGATGAGACAGCAGCTGGAGGAGTGACAACATCTGGAGCTGAAATTGTAGGAGAAAAAAAATCTACAGGACAGCACTTGCTCACAGTCATATAATTTATACAATTTTCTGGTAGGCCTAGTTAACTCCATTTTAATGAGACAGCATTCATGATAAAGTGTCTCAGGTTCATGACAAGTAGATAGCTTATCCTACCAACAGTCAAGTTTTATACACCCAGGTTTAAGTAGGCGATCTAAATAAGGGGTTAATACAATTAAAGTTTTACAGGACAGCATAGATTATTTCTAGGATATTTTGTCATTTTCCATTTTTCAATTTCCAGGTGTTTCTATTACTGGAAAACTAGTTTCTAAATTCCCAGGATTTCCAAGATGCATGGAAACCCAGTTATTTCCAACATTTTTTAAAACAATTTAAGTTTCAATATACAGTTTCGTGTTGAATATATCTTATAATGAACCAGGAAAATTACCTAATAATAATGCAAAAATGCAACAAATATATTCAAAATTAAAATACTATTATATTAAAGGTATATGCCTTAAACTAAACACATGTTTATACTTCTTATAAGTCTTTTACATCAGAAGTCACAGATTTAAAATGCTCTACGTGAAATGAAAAATGTCATATGATGCTACACATTGACATATACTTGGATTGCTTCAAAAAACTTTTATGTTCCTTGACCTAGTAAAGAAGGTGACAAAATGTGCCTGTGTGGCATGGAGAAGCGAGTAAAAATGTGTGTATAAGGTTTGAAAAATAGACTTTGGCAAAACAGAGTTATAAATAAGTTCTGTCTCGAGTCTTCGTAAGATGGTTGAGTGTCTTAACTCTGCGCTCAGTGAGAATCAATACAGTAATCTGTTTTTTTCTTTTACTTCAGATTGATTTTTGCTGTCTCTGCACTGACCCCTGCCGTCACATTATCTTCCCAACAAGGCCAGTTAGTCCAACTCAGATTAATGTAGCGACTAACATATGAAGAAAAATCTTTCTTTTCCTCTTCCACTTCCTCTCTCCTTATACACGTATTCTTCCCTCCATGACCTCCCAGGTAAGAAAAACGTTACTATGTGTTTTTCAGTCATTTGCGAGGCAGACAGTCTTAGCCTTCCTGGCCATTTTACTTTACATCTTCTTCTCCCTTCTCAGATGATATTTATTTCATTCATTCTGACTGTCCCTCATTCTTGTCTTGCTTCTCCTCTCTTCTTAAGAGCTAAAAATCTCACTGAAGAGACAGGATGAGAGTGTCTGAGTGTGTTTAGAAGTGTATCTGTGTGTGTTCAGATGCAGACACAGTCTTAAATCAGTGCTACTGGTAGGGGACAGAGAAAGACACAAGTTCTGCTCATGACAGTACAGATATATATATATATATATATATGTACGTGTGTGCGTTTGTGCTTTACAGACTTACCTTCCTCCGGGGTTGTGAGGCTTGATCTCAAATCATTATCACCATTGTCATTATGAAGACTCTCAGTGCAGCCAACAGGACTACAGGCACTTACAGTGATAATGTATCGAGTGGATGGAGTGAGACCCGGCAGCACACCTGGAGAGGAGGAGGAGGAGAGAGGGAGTGAGGCAGAGAGCACAGACAGAAAGAGAACAGATAGAGGCAACTTTGTTCAAAAAGATGGAAGATACCCATTTGAGTTTGCTAACCCAGACTGTTGAAGCCTCACATCAGCTTCCACTGAATAATGCATTTTTGTAATGGGCATGTGAGTTTAAAGAAAGAAAAACTGTGAACCTAACACTCCTTTGTGCCAACCCTGCCTAACCTGACTAAATGCCCTTTACTGTCTATTATTAGTGTGAACCTGTTGTCACTGAAGTAAGTATCAGCATTCTTCAATAGCGCAATTTAAATGCTTAACTTGTTTCTATGTGCCACTGTTGCTAAGCAGACTTACTGCGTTTGGCAAACAACGAGAGTCTATTCTAATTGTAAAGCTTCAGTCGTCTCTCTCTGATGTTTTTTGTCCTAGACGTCTCTGCCCTCTCCACTACTTTCTGTATTTCGTAAGTCATTCTTTTACATCCCCTCTCTTCCACCCCCTCCAACTTTCCTCACCCTCTGTGTCCAGTCACCCTGTACTTGTCTCTTTTTTTCCCTCTCTCTTTCTTCCTTTTTCTCTCTCTCTCTCTCTGTTACCCATGTCTTTTAATTCAATTAGGGGCCAGGGCCCCACTCCGCTGCCATTACACACTCATTTGCTTTCTGTGTTTTTTAGCCGTTGGTGTAATTCCGTAGTCAGGTGTCAGGGCCATCATAAATTAACAAGAAGCCTTATCACGGTGGACTTAATGTCTAGCAAAGAGAGAGGGAGGGAATGGGGAGCAGCGAGAGAGACGCTGAGAAAGACGGAGACAGAGAGTTCATCTTCATATTTGCCTGGAGACATGGAAGAGTGGATGAGAGGAGGGACGAATAGCAGCAGCGGACGCAGACATCATCATCATCATAAAAGATGAAGTGAGGGAAGATCGAAAAGTGAGCAACAGAAAAAGAGAGAGAAGAAAGGACCAATGCCAGGGTATGACATCATTGGGGTAGTCCTGAGTGTCTTGTTCCAAATGGAGACAGTCTCCTAAAGCTGGGGACTTGCCAAGGAGACATTACCAGGGTTGCCTGGGACAGTGTGTGTGTATGTGTGTTTGTAGGAAAGTAATTGGAACCTTACAGCTCCACAAGAAGGTGGCAGGAAACCTGCTACAATAAGTTAAATAGGACAACGGCTGCAAGTTAAGTTAAATTTATCATCAATCATCCATGTTGGCTGGCTCAAAACGAAAGTTTTTTTGTTGTTCAGAAAAGGGATACCTCTCCTACCTCACCCTGCTACATGTCATTGGTGCCCTAGGTTAGGCTGCACGGCATATCTCACAATGTAATGTATATACTTAATATTTGTGCTGAATGTACAAATATATTAGACTATCAAGGGTTTGTTCGAGTTTTACCTGTGAAATTTCCATTTGCCAGGTACGTGGCTTTGACAGGTGGTAGCTCCGGCTGGTCTCTATTGTAGGCCTTCAACTCGTATCTGTCAATCAGCCCTCTGATGTCGCCAGTGGGTGGCAACCAGCTCACCTTGGCACTGAAGCCATTCAAGCTCTGCACTGTAGTAGGAGGTGGTACAGAACTTGGTACTAGAGAGAGAGGGAGGCAAAATAAGTCAAGATGAAAGAGAATGTGAAGAGAAGAATACTGTGGATCAAAACATAGAAAGAGATAAATAACTATAAGCAGCAATAAATAAATAAATAAATAAATAAAACACATACTATAATCAAACAAAGCCATACTCAATAAAGACAAAAGAACCAAAGAACCAGAAATTAAATAAATAAATAAAAAATATGTCAAAAGAAATAAAACAAAATAAAAGCAAAAACAGGAAAATGTTAAAAAAAAGAAAGCAAAACAACAGGTCGAGAGCACATGAGGTTAAAGAAAAAGCATTCCCCATCTCTCTGTGTTTTAATAGGCCCAGTAAATCATACCTCACCATTAGCATAAATAGTATTTATGAGAGTAGTAACTTTTTCAGCACTGATTTAATACAGCCAGCCATTCATTCTGGGCTATATTTCACAGCAATCAGCCTCCCTCCTTCTCTATAGCACTCCCCTTCTTTCTCTCTCTGACACCCTCAGTAGTTCAGGATGGCCTAGCTCCTTTCCACCCTCCCTCTATTTCTTTGCTGTCTATCTCACTGCCTCAACCACCTTCATTTTCTGTCTCCATCCATCCTTCCATCTGCCTTTGCATCTATCCCCTCCCTCACTTATCCTGGACATAGACTAAAAGCAGACTAGAGTAACTTTCTTTTTTCTTATAACTTCCACTCTTCCAGTTTTTATCTCTAATTTTCATCTTCCTTTCATTAACTCATCTTGCATCCTTCCTTACATCTCCTCCCACCCCATGCCTTCTTGCCATCCATCCTTCTCTTTCCTCCCCTTTTTTTGAATCTCTCTACCTCCCCCATCCTTTCCTCTCAGTCCTTGTCCTCCATCTGCCTCTTTTCCCCTCAGTTCTTAATGTTTTAGCACTTCCTCCTCTGGTCATAGCATGGTATACTGAGACCTGCCAGTGTATCGTTCACTACTAACGAGCAGCTTTATATTACACAAGGGACCACACAGGCCATTCTGGGTTAACAGCCTTTTACTGGGATGCCCTTTATAGAGGCCTTATCAATCTCTCATACCGTCAGGCACATGTAATATCACTGGCTTTGGATTAGTCTCACACACTGTACAACATAGTAGTGGTTTTTACATCAAAATGTCTTAACAAAGAGAAACAGTTCTGAACAAAGTCAGCCAGAGGGAATATTTACTCCTTGTTGAACGTGTCAAAATGCATCAGAGTAAAACATGTTTCAGTTTCAGTCAATCAGGGCAAAATCCTATACTTTGTTAGGGACTTTGTAAAGGAAATGCTAATTCCAAGACAGATTATTCAGCACATCGAGCAAACATAGAGGTAAAGAGGAACACACACTCTCTCAGACACACTCACGCACACAGCATGCTAATACTTGAGGCTTTGGGATACTTAAGAGCCTCATCATTCTCTCACAATACTAGAGTGTATCAGATAATGTCAGATAGAAAGTAACAATGATACTGTTGCAGGTACTGTGTACAGTGTGTACTGTACTTGTGTACTACAACTGCACATGTTGTGTGTGTGTGTGTGTGAGGACATGCATAAATGCGAGTGTGTATTACTGTTATGATATTATTATGATATCTGGCTGTCTACACATTGGTCTGATAATACACAGAAACACACACCAACTACTGCTAGAGTGATGAGACGTTTTACCTTTGCTCAGGCTGCGTCCTCTCTGCCAAGATCCTGCAGCCCAACCTCCGGCAGCCAAGGCCACAAACCTGTACAAGTACTCTTGAAAGGTACGCGTGTATGTGTGTTTGCACATAGGAGGAGGGGTTTGGGATGCACATGGGACAGGGGAGATACAGATTTCTTACATTAAGGGAAAATGTATTTGAACAATTTGCACAAAAGTAGAATAAAAGATGGATCAAATATTGTTTGTATCAGCAAAATCATACCATATCATGATTAATTTGTCACATTTACTTTGGTGATGATTAATAATAATAAACAATATCTTATTGAATACACCCTTGCACAAGATTCTACATTGCCACAGTGTGGCTCTTATTAATGACAGAAGCCAAAGTGTGCCTTCATGACTGACAACTGTTTTGCTTTGCGTACTACTGTAGCTCTTTACTATCTGAAACTGTACTCAGTTGCTTTTATAACATTTGAACTGTTTTGTATGTCTCACTTAGCCTGGACACACACGGTTAATTTCATAACATACAACTGCTGAACAACGCCCCAGAAAAAGCGCTGGACATCAATACGGCATTGACACTTGGGATGAAAACGTGTGAAACAAGTGTGGCACACCATTCTCAATCTGAAGATATGAAAGGAACCGATTATTCCCTACTGATAAATACTACACTTTTATTATTCTTATTTTTAATAGGCCTTCAGTAATATGCTTGATTACTGATTGCAAATTAACTTGCTCCTTTGATTAAATGTTGTTTGTTTTATTGGCTGTTGCAACAGAGACAGGAGTATCAATGGTACGTTCTTTCTATTGTTTGTTTGAAAAAAGTCACTGAAATGTTTTAAAAAATCAGTGTTGACAATGTGTCACACTTCCTTTTCAGGTGAGTGCAGCCTGTGTGTTAGTGTAGTTATATGTGCTATGTCTATCTTGTGTTTATGTTGTGTATGTATGTATGCATGTATGTGAGGCTACGTACACACTGTACAGGCAACACATTGCCTGGAAGGGACAATAAAGAATCTATCTATCTTTTATATATATGTATACTGTACATCGTTACCAGTGAAAGGCTGTAGACTATAATCTGTGGCTTGTGTCTTCGTCCCACTATACACCAACACTGAATCGTTTCCTCTGCAGTTGTAATGGCTTTCACTTGTGGGACAGCCGTCTAAGTAGACTCTAACAGAACGGCGGGAGGCAACAGAGAGATTAACAGTTTGACTGACAGGAGGGTTTGTTTCATCACTTCGTATGGTAAGAGCCCTTATGCAACCTCCCAGGCCTGTGAAAGAGGAAAGGAGAAAAGAAAGAGAGTATAAGGTGGAGAGAAAAAGGAAAAGGAGAAGGAGAGAAAAAGAGGAGAGAGTAAGAATAGTACATCTTTCTGACAACTTTGTGAAAATAATGAAATACCAGTATAACGACTTTGAATCCTGGTTGATTAATTTAATGCTGCCCTGAAGCATTGTTAAAACTAAAGATGCTCTGGATAAAAATGTTTTGACTGTGTACACACAGAGGAGCAGGCAATTTACGGTGGAAGAAAACATGACCTGCAAGTACATATACTCTCACTTGTTTGACTCTATAGCAAAATAAACAAAAACCAGGAGTACACTGCTATGTTTAACCAGCTGCAGAGAACTGTATATGAAGTCAGGGAATGTTTATCTGCACATCCTGCACATGGCCCAATCACAGCCAAATGACAATCTTCTTGGTCAAACACCTGCCATTTTGATTGCGTGAACACACTAATACTATTTCTGCGTGTACATATATCTCACCGTGTTTGTGACTTTGCCTATCCAGAGCAGGATGTATGAGGTCCATGGGCACGCCCCCCAAGTATAATGGTGCATCAACTCTCAACCTAACTGCTCCTCCCGCTCCTCTTGTCTCCTCTGCCCAGTCATCGACTGCAGCAAAGATGAGTGAGCCACGTTTTGCCAATGAAAGCTGTTTCCAGTCTCCATCGCAGTAGCTAAGCCCTACCCACATGCTGAGTTCAGTCACGTGACCTTCAGAGGCAAGAATGAAGGACAGGAGGCCGGCTTCCAGTTCCACCTAAAAACACAAAACAATAAACAAAATATCACACGTTAATGAACTGTACTTATATAGCGCCTTTCTAGTCTTCTGACAACTCAAAGCGCTGCACACTGCCACATTCACCCATTCATACAGTGATGACAAAGGCCACCACGAACTGAAAGTAATTCATTCATACACATTCACACACAAATGCATGGTATCAGGAGCAATTTGGGGTTCTTGTATCTTGCTTTGACATGCAGCAGGAGGAGCCGGGGATTAAACTAACAACCTTCCAATTAGTGGACAACCCGCTCTACCTCCTGAGCCACAGCCGCCCCTGCTTTGTCTTGTTTTTTTAATAAACTGTATTGATAATGACTGTATTTTGAGTGTTGTAAAAAACATTTTTAAATGTGTCTGTGCTCCTTACCAGCATGTAGTCATCAGTTTGTGTACTGTATGTAAAGAGCAAAAGAGCATTGAACTGGTCTGTTCTGAAATCCATAGAAATATCAAACTCTTGCCCCCCACCGAAAACATCTCTGCGCATCTCCAAGTAACCTGAAACAAGGAAGAAATAATTACCAACAACATGCCATTTCATTACAAGGCTAAGGGCTAAGGAAAAAAATTTACTTTTTTCACTGTATTGGGAACCAAGGTGGTCTGTACCCTTTTTTCCAGATATAAAGTCTGAGTCACACTTAAAAAGTATGACATGTTGAAAATGAAAATGTTTTGGCATATATTCAAAAGTGACAGACAAATAAAGGCCGGGATGAGTAGGCCCTCTATAAAGCAATAATGGAGGAAATGTGAATTGATGAACCTGATCTTTCACACAGAGACCAATTAACTTATCATCATCATATTTATCAACATGAAACAACAACCTCATTATCACCAACATCAGCAGCAAGCATCTTATTAAGATATACAGTGTTGCCAGTGTATCTGGAACACTAAACATTCACTTGAAGTTGTATCTGAACACAGCTTGCTCATAACTTTCTCTGCAATGCGAATACCCTGTTGTATATTGTCATGTTTATGACAGTTGCAGTATAAAGTATTGTGCTACCACATACACTATCATTTCATCTTTGATGGACATCAATCTTGTAGAATATAGTAATCTTATTGTGCTTGTGAAACAAGAGAGAAAAAATAACAATTTCTATTATCAACAACAATCAATAAGATCCTACCATGACCAAGAAAATGTGCTCCATCCACAGTTTGAACAGGGCATCCCTCCCAGCTTTCATACACTGCCACCTTCTTTGTTGCTGTGGCCCAGTCCAGAGGTTTCCATTCCTCTGAGGGGCTGTCAGTCAACTTAAAACTCACGTCTCTAAGGCAACCAGAGAAACCCTGTCGCACTAGCCGTGCATTACCTGGTGAGATAGACAAGAAAAAATATTTCATTTTTTCATGACTTGAAAAGTTTAAATCCATTATTCCAAACTGCCTAAAATACTGCATTTAAGTTCAACATTTTGAGTTCAAGTTGTCAGTGGCAATTGCCTTCCAGTGCTAATTAGTATCAGTGGCTGAATATTCAGTTGGTCTTGTAGTGAGCCCGGACCTCAATCAAGACCTCTGGACTTCAATCCAAGGTTTATATCCCTTCCTAAATTATACTTGAGGAGGTTAGAAAACTCCTATGTAATCCATCCAGTTGTAGCACTAGCTGCCTTATAGAAAAGAGTGGCTAAATACCATCTCCTTCTTTGAGAATCAATAACATTTAAAAAGCCAAGCCAGGTTCAGATGGCCAAAATGTATAAAATCCATTGAAATGTTAAAAATTATAAACAATAACACATAATACAGTGGATGATGATGGACTTACCCAAATCATTTCTAAGCAGACTAAAGTCTTCAGGCAGCCCTCCAATGAACACCCCTGTGTTCTCACCAATAATGGAGCTGCCACTGGAAGCAGATTCACTTCCTGGTGGTGGTGGAGGTAGGATAGTGGTGTTACACATACATATGGCAGAGCAAAGCAAAGCAAAGGTGTGGAATTGGGGGGGAATTAGAGTAAATATGAAATCAGAGCATTTAGTGTACAAAAGGGGGCGGAACACAATACAATAAAGTGACAATGAAAGAAGAAGGTGGTAAAGGCAAAACAAAAAGAGACAAAGAGAGCAGATGGGTGAGTGTAAGAGAGAAAAGTGTTATGCAGTTTCTGTCCAAATTTACTCAGACAGAAAGAAAATGAATAACAATTTTGAGAACAACTGAGGAACACAAGCATGTTTCTGTGTGTGTGAAGCACTATTTTTCTCATCAGACACAGAATGGCTGGGATTAACCTGTCTAATACCTCCATACGGAGCTGGGCAATTTACATACATAGAAACACACACAGACACATACTGTACATGTTAGTCTTGCATCCTCACATGTGTAGATGAACATAAATACACTTACATTTAAACTCACACACCCACACACTGAGCAGATATACACAGTGGTCAGTATGAATATGAGAAGAGTTACCTCTGTATTGATTGTTTACAATGATTGTTCCCACGGCCCCTTGCCTTGTTGCTATGATACTGTGCCATTTTCCATCATTGTAGCTGTGCCCTCCATCACCCTGTACGCTCACAGCCACCACTGAGCCCTACACACACAAACACAAGCACACATAAACATAATACAGGCAAGAATTTAAACACATATACATTAATGGTGTTGATTTATACTGGTTTCTTAACTCTGACCATAGGTCTTGCAACTATGTGCCTTACAGTAATTGCTAAAGTAAATCTATGACCTCTGGCTCAAAAGAGACCACTTTTCAAATCACAGTGCAATCAAACACGCTTACTTTGTAACATTTTAAATTATCGCTTCTTTATCCCTCTGTTGTGCGAACAAGGTTAGACATTAAGGATCGATGACACACATACACACACCACCCTCAAAAGGACACGAACATGCACATATAATCATCAAAGTGTGGTTACAGGGCTTTTTGCTACCTATTAAGTATGACATCATTGTTGTGATCAGCTTTTAGCAAGCAGGCAAAGAGTAATGTAGTAAAACAAGAGTAACGGGTACGTGCACACACACAAACAACATATATCCAGATACACACACAGTGATGAAGATTTAATGATGAGATCAATAAATGTATGAATGCCAGAGTATATCAGCCTCTGACATCTTTACTACCATTTCTAGACAGCTCTACTTAACAAGACAACATGGGAGGAGTCTCTTTACCGCTTTCTCTCTCACTCACTTTTACACATACACACAAACACACCCATTTAAATCCCTCTCCTGAGAGATACTGTCAGTGGAAGCAACTAACACTCAACTCTTCCAGAAACTAGTACTGAGGCACCCTTGTATTGGTATTTAGTAACATAATTGCTAGGCATAGCCCTCTTCTCACTTACTCATGGTCTCTCTCTCTCTCTCTCTCTCTCTCTCTCTCTCTCTCTCTCTCTCTCTCACTACACACACACAAATATACACTACTGAATTGATACAGTGGACTGACTATCAGTTAAGATAAAAGCAATGTCACTCATTATGTGAATAAAGAGTAAAAAGCTGGATGAAAAAACACACCTCACTTTAGCAAAGACCCACTCATGAGGATGGTGGTCCCTGTAGCCTGCATTTGACTGGTAAAGCACTCGACTAAGGTGCTTGTCTGCTGTTCTGCCTGTTTAATATACAGTATGTGATACTGGAAGCTGATGGACACACATGTGCACATACACCAAATAAATAGCACTTATCGAAAGTGCTGCCCCTGTGGCTTTCCGAGCTATACTTGGCAACCAGATACAGAATGTGAACATATCTATGTGTGTATGTTATTGTGTTTAAGAGGGCGTGTGAGCGTTTGCTCGTGTGTATACGTATATATGTAAGGCAATCGCTTATGGACACAGAAGGAAGTAGTTTGTTACTCTTACATTAGATGACGTTCAGATCCCCATTTCCATCTCTATGTCCTCATCTCCCTCACAGTCTTCCAGATGTTTTATGCTTTCCGTTAGATATATTTAGAATCTTTGCTATAATGGCGATGACCATACAAAACTGCTATTTCCAACCACTATCTTTTCCAAAACTCTAATTGTAGATAACTTTTTTGGCATCTCAAGGGTCTAATGTTGCCACCTGTTGACAAGAAATATGGAGTACCTCAGGGCTCTCTTCTTGGCCTTCTGCTTTTCCCGCTATATTTTTCACCTCTTGGCCAAATTATACATAGCCATAGAATGAATTTCCACTGCTAGGCTGATGATACTGTACTTGTATGTGCCTGTGAAGGCAGATGATCATTCCTAAATTATTAAAATTAAATAATTATTAAATTGCTTAAAGTTTGACAGTAAGGGTGCTCTGACTGATTAAAACAGAAGCTGTGTTTATATTACATATTGGGGCTAAGACAGCAAAGGCCCAGCCACCTTTAGTTTTGCAGTTGGAGTGGAGAATTCAGCAGAAAAATAATTCAGCAGGCTGCAGGGCCTTTTTCCTATCGTGCCCCTTTTGTCTAACATAACCTCCCTGTTGACATCAGACAGTCTCTGTTTTTGATTTGTGCTTATTCTTTGATTACTTGCACCTGTTACCATTATACTTCCGGTGGGTCAATCTCAGTACCAATGTATCTATTAAGTCTTGTACTTATAGTCCATGTTTGTCCAGCTGACAAGTTTGCTGTAAATTTTCTGAAAGCCGCTGCATCTCTCTAACCCTCTGCTGTTTATGTGTCCCACAAGAAAAGCTGTGTTCTTATCTCTCTCTCTCTCTCTCTCTCTCTCTCTCTCTCTCCCTTTCTCTCTCTCTCCTTAGTTTCTCCCCCTTGTCCTCTCTTTTCACCCAAGCTTCTCTGTACCGGACCATCAGCCGCCCAGGGACCTGGATCCACCCTCTCCTCTTCTCTTCTCTCTCTCTCTCCCACTTGTGTGCATGCTTTCCTTGTCTCTCTCTCTCTCTCTCTCTCTCTCTCTCTCTCCCTCTCTCCTTCAGTGTGTTTGTTATTTTCTCCTCTCTATGTATTTGTGTGGCCTGTCCTTTTTCCAGGACTCTATGATTGAGAGGAGGTTGTGTGGCTCAGGTCCTACCTATTTTGTGACACACTGAAGCTGTGCAATGTCCTCCTTGATCCATATTCTTCACATATGTTTTACAATTTACATGTATCTGTAATTTTGTCATCATAACTTGTTCATTTGTTGGTCTATTCTGTACACACACCTCTATATTAAGGATGGAGAGATACAGCGATTTGAATCGGTGGTCCGAGACAGATGTTTGCGATGTGAGTGCACCAGTAGCTTCAGTGTGCATCGGATACAACTGCCGGCTAAATGCGCAATGTATCTTTCTTTGCGTGTCTGCATCGGTAAAACCCATGGTTACATCGATTATTACATAGTTTATCTCCTCTGCACCAGTGTTTTCGAGGCGCCTTGAACGCACCATCACTGTCTCTTTGCGCGGCGCCGCAGACGCAGTTAGTTAATAAACAGAAAAAATGGAGGGAAGCGACACAACAGGTGAAGAGGAGATATTAAGCGTACCTTGGAAGACACACAACTCCAAAGTTTGGCGATTATTCGGATTTTTTAAGAAGGAAGATGGAAAACTTGTCAGCTCAAGCACATCAGTCTGGCAGGCAGTAGTATGGGCATTGCACTATGATGAAGTTATTTGCACAATGCACATTGTTGTGGTTGGGAAGTTTTATAAGTGTTTTGTAAAACATTGTGAAATTACAGACAGAGAACACTATTAGTAAAAGGACCTGAGAAAACCTTGTTTTTGGTTTTTTTTATTTATTAAGAGGCCAAAAAGAAATTGCCCAAATACAATACATTTAGAATTGTATAAGTATAGAATGAGATTAAAAACACATGTAATGAAAACATATTTTTTGTTTATCATTTAGTGTTTATTATTAGTTATTAGTGTTCTCTGTCTGTACCATATTGAATTGCATCTTCTTTTTAAGTTGGATTTATTGGTTTGCTTCATAGAAAACAATCAAGTATCAAATACATTAGAAACCAGATGTGGGCTTGTAAATTCTTTGTATTGTGTTGAATCGTTTTGAATCGCATCATGAATCATATCGAACCGAATCGCATTGTATAAAGTCAAATCTTTGTCAAATCATTAATGAATCGCATCGCATCGTGAACAGAGGTGAATCGTATCGCATCGTATCGGCAGGGGGCTCAACTGTTGGGCTTTGAGGGGGGCAGGGGGCTTAATGTATCGTATCGCTGGCAGCGTATCAAGATGTGTATCGAATCGGCCTCAGTGGTGGGGATTCACATCCCTACTCTATATACTGAGACAGCCAGTGGTTCATAAAACACTCACCTGCATCAAAAGTGGGAACTATATAAATGTGTGTTTGTGACAGTAAGTTAACTCCAGTGCTTTGGTCTATCTCTTCTACATGTGAAAGGGAATGTTTTTGAGTGCTCATGTGCTTCAGCGTACTTTGTGAGTGTGTGTGTGTGTGTGTGTGTGTGTGTGTGTGTGTGGGCAACTCACATGTGCACATATTTATGAGCATATCACTTTCCTGTGTCATGCTAAATTACCCCCCCTGCACTAGTAATCCCATTAGGCTAGCTCAACAGGCTAATAGGGGGAAGTAATGGGCCCAGCTATATGTATCTAGGGGAACACTAATAAGCCGTGACACCACTCCCACTGTTAATTACCCCAAACTAGCCTAAACAAAGGAATCAACCCAGTTGGAGAAGACACACATACACTCCATCGCACATCCAGCAGTACACATAACCACAGACACACAAATTAACACTGCAAGTCAACAAGGATCTATTCAGTGACATACACCCCCTTTACACACACAGATACATCCCATGGTCACATTTTGATGAAGTCTTCTTGATAATAAGTATTGGATAGTGGAAAGTGTAAGTGTGTGTGTGTGTGTTTGTTTGAGTGCGTAATTAGTTGGTGGCCTCATGGAAGTATGTATAATCATCTCCCATCATCACTTTCATCATAGAAGTCGTTGACTCTTTAACCCCTCTACATGTGTCTGTATGGATGGATAAGGGAAGCAGGGCTGTGTATGGATGTGTGTGTGTATGGATGTGTGTGTGTGTGTGTGTGCAAGGGTGCAAAGCTTAATTAGCTTGCAATTGGTATTCACGCGTGGTGACTGCAGGGAATGAGTTAATTGCAGTCCAATTCAAACGTTGACACACTTTCAAAGTTTTTTCCCCTCTCCCTGTCTCCCTGACAGAAACCAATGAGGGGCTACAGATCACATTTATTAGATGAGAGCAAGTGAGGGAGAAAATGGGAGAGAGACAGAGAGAGAAAGAGAGAGAGAGAAAGAGAAAGAGAGAGAGTGAGAGAGGGGAAGAAAAAATGAGAAAGACAGAGGTGGATCAGAAGAAAAAGGAGAAAAAGACAGGAAGGTGAGCAAGTAAGTAAAGTGTGTAGAATGAAATAATACAATAAGAGACTGAACAAATGAGAGAATGTGAGTGAATAAATTGGTTAAATGGCCATTAACGATAAATAAAATATTGGCGTATTCATCTGTGAAATATGGTACTTTAGAGAAAGGTACACTTACTGTAAATTACAGATGGTAGTTAAGCTAGATTTAGTTGTTCCCATATAAGTGGAAGCAGACAAAATGTCCCTCAAGAAAAGATATAAAGAGTAATACCCAAACTAAATTAACATAATAATAGAGATGACAATAATAATAATTATAATAATAATATGGAATCCCCTCCTTCTTTTTAAATAAACTCTGGTTGATGCTGAGATCTTCCTGACTAGCCTGTTAGCTTTGTTGCACTTTTGTTAAACACAGAGAAAACAACTGATTCCAATCAGCTTTTGTATGGTCTTATTTGAGGTTGCATTACTAAGCCATATAATTGATTTATATTATTATGTATATCAGTCTCGAAATATCAGTTATTTATGCTCACATTCAAAACTGTAAAAAACAAAACAAAAGAAAACAAAAACTTTACATACCTGCGGGTCAAACAAAAAGTAAGGGCGTCCATTTTTTATCTGAATTGCCAGGAACTCTTCCTGATTTCCTGGAGAGAAGGCACAGAGCAGCAGGCCATCTGGGGACAGAGTCTTAAAACTCAACTCAACACCTGATACAAAGTAAAGTCAGGAACAAGTGTGTGTAGAGACAGAGATAGAGCAGGAGAGAGAAATAAAAATAATAAATTATAAAATGTGAAAAATATAACAGTATCAGATTGGAATACTTTAATAAGTTAAATTCAATAATTCCAAACTTTAAAGAGTTAAATGACAATGAAAGATTGTTAGATTATATTAGGAGAGGGACATGCAGAAAACAAAGCTGCACAATATGTGACTGCATGTCTCAAAGTGAGGGAGAGATATTAAAATAATATTACTGAATGTGAGAAATCTAAATCTTGTTGTACATATCGAACACACACACACAAACTAGTATTTTCTTGTTTTCATTCATCTACTTACTGTATTGTATTTAATGAATAGTAGATTTATGAAATGTAATTCTTATGGACTGTTTTCTTCATTAATTGTATTTTTTTTTTCTTTTTTAGAATTGTGTTGGTTTGTTGTTAATGTGTAATTATTAATACTTTGGCAATAATTGTTAACATTCATGTTATTCAAAGCATTATTATTTTTTATTTAATTTGTTCTCAGATATTTATTTAACATTGGTTAAACAATACTTTCAATACCTGTCAAATTTCTACACATTGTTAATCTTTACAATAAAATAAAGTGAAGGAACCAAGTAAAAACCAATAAAACAGCCCTTAAACCTTTTAAATGCCACTGGACCCACTGGGGGTTGGCCATGGCAGCTGTTATCAGGGCGTAACTCAATAAGGGACCTGTAGTGTCCCAGTGTTAAACCTGGCCATTTAGATATCAGACAGCACCCAGCGTTTACCATCTAACCTAAAGAGAGGGTTCATCTCTGCATGAACAAGTTCTAGTTGAGAGTTTTTACAGGAATCAGCACAGTGGAATATATGTGTACTTCTTCCTTCTCTATCCAGACTTTCAGAATTACTACTTTAATTTGTTCAAATCCATAAGATGTACATGGTAAATCCCTAAAACACTACTTGCACAATACTGCAGTACAGGGGTCACAACCCTTAGTTATAGCATTAAGATAACCCTCAGTCAGAGCTTTCGTGTAAGGTCTAATTGTTCCCTTCAATTTTTGAAGTGAGGTACTGTATACCATATATGTCTCTTTACAGTTTACAAGTAAAACAGAGACAAAGATTGTGTACCTGGACTTAAGGTGTCTTCATTTCCATTGTAAGCCAACCATCTAGAATAATCTTACCACTAAGATACTTGATGAAAAACATTAATTTCAGAGGACTTGTCTGAGCAGACAGACCTATTCCACACTTTTAACAGCTCTCACCCTCAATCTCTTGCTTTTATTTCTTAAGCCACAATATCCTATTTAATATTATAGTAAAGATAAAGAAATTAAAAGAGTAGGGTCTCATTAAGATACAGATTTTTATGAAAACACAAAAAAACGTTGACAAAATGGAAATTAAGCTTCCCTGATCCATTGTGTATCCCAGTGTTGTTAAAGCCCTTTAAAGTTTCCCTCCAAATCAACATACTAGTAGCAACTGATTTAAGATCATTTTTACAGGATTTAGCTAATCGCTCTCCTGCATCGTTCTATATGAAGGTTTGTGGAGAACTTTTATGTTTAAAAATCTAAAGTTTGACAAAACCAAGTTCTCCTGCATCTCTCAAATAAAACCCAATTATGTTATTCCTAAATACAATAAATATACCAATATAAAATCCTGAATCCTGGAATCACAACAGATTTGGGGTATGAGGACACAATGGTTATGAAGAATATAATTTAATATTTGAACAGGGCAGTAACTGACCAAAAAATTGCATCTACTGTATCATTCCAATACAGCTGTCCTGCTTCTGTTGTAAATAGTAGGGTGCCTCGTTTGTTAATGCATACTGTGAATCAAAGCTTCAGCAATGTGGGAAACTTGTGGGTTCTTATACCAGCAGGAGCTCTAACAGACAGACAGACACACAGACACACACACACACACAAACACACACACACACACACACACAGAATTCAGTCAGCGTGCTGTCTTGTCATGTTACTATGGATCAGAGATTGGATCTTAATCCACTACTAGATCCACATAGTGACACAGAGGATACAATTTTATGTGCGTGTCTGTGAGTATGTGTGTGTTTCTTCCACTCTGTCTGTCTCTGAAGGGAACAGAAGTGTGGGAAGATCTGAGGAGTTGAATGGAGGCAGTCCAGGGTTCATCAAAAGCTGGTGTTAGCAAAATAATTAGTGTGTGAATTCACTTAACATGGAGAGAAGTCAAACAGTTACATGGCAAGCTCAAAATGAATACAGATTAGCCATTTCAAAGCTCCCAGTTTTCACGCTATTTTGAACAAAAATACCTTCTCCATGTTGTTACTTTGGGTCTATTTGTAACTGGATATATTGTTATACAAGTGTCTGTAGTGAGAGCTGAAGAGTGACAGGAAAGGGGAGAGAGAGAGAAAGGGGATGACACGCAACAAAAGGGCCACAGGTCAGGGTTGAACCCATGGCCCCTGCAGCAAGGACCCAGCCCTGGCACATGGTGCGCCAGATCCACCAGGCGAGCCAACCAGGTGCCCCAGCAAAAAGATTTTTTGACCTCCCCCATTTCACAATTTCCCACTGAGCTGATAAAAAAAAAGGAAAGGACATCACTAAGTATGGGATATAACTTACAGGAGGACCAGGAGTTCACCTTAAAACAGCAGGTAATTGTGACAATAATTATTACTGGGTTGGGAAGGAAAATACCCAAATACATGCTGCAGACAAGATCAAAATCACCCAAAATGACCAGCGTAGGTGATGTTAAAATCACCTCACCTCCCTTGGAGAAGTAAATCCAGTCCGAATGGGGATTGAGACTGATCCATTTTACTTTTGCCAAGCATCTTTTATTTAGTTATTATATATTTTCGGCTCGAGGATCGGACTCGAACCCATGGCCACTGCAGAAAAGACTCAACCTTGGTACATGGGGGGCCAGCTCTACCAGGTGAGGTATCAGGGTGCCCCAAACATAATCTTTGAAGATGTGGCTCACAAGGTATCACAGGTTTGCCATTTCTATTTCAGTCTAGGATACAAGTGTTTTAGAAGATAAACTGGGCAATTTTTTTCCTTAAAATGGTCCAATAGTGCACAAATTAATAGTTTTACCTTGGTTAATGATTTAACTTAAGTCTAGATGGAAATAAACGTATAATAACTGTGGTAAGAGTACACAGCTAAGACAAAGATATTCTTTACATTACTTGCTTGCATTCAGTACATCAAGCAGGCATCTGTCATTTACATTCATGACCTTGTCACTGCAGAGAGATGAGTGAAGTCATGACAGATACCTGACATTACATTACCGCCCTTTAACCTTCTCTGTGTCACATCTCCTGATCTCTCATACCTTCCTTTCTTTCTTCCCAACACTTTTAACCTTCCTCTCCTTTTTCTGGACCTTTTCATTCTCCTTTTCCCCACCTAATGCCTCATCTCAATATGTTTTCTCTCCTTGCATCTTCAATTGTGTTTTTTCTCTTCTTTCACTTTCAACTCTGCTTTTTCCCATGTGTCCTACTTCCCTTCCTCTTTTACTGCTCTAACTTAAATAACATCAAACTGTGCTTTCTTACACACAGAACCAGTCCTGTACACAGAGGACAGGTCCATGGGACCCTAACACACACTCATTTGACAGTGGAGAAGCAGCTTAACTGTTATTAGTTCTGCCTCATCAGCACAGGATTTCATATACATTTTATACAATACAAAATAACTGTGTGCAATGGTCAGAGACATTAGATGGCGACTGGTGATGCATTATATGCTGGTATATCTTCATATAAAGAACTTTTGTGCAATACTCTGAACTTTGCTGCATTTCACTGTCTAAAGATGGATCCAGTACTCAAATAAATGGCCCAATACAAGCCCCACAGTTGCCAGACAGAAGTAATGGTGTTAGGTGGATTAGTAATAGATAATAATAACGTCTGGAAGAAATACATATAAGGCAACAAAGAACAACAGACAACTACTGGTGTTGCATACACTGATCAGCCATAACATTATGACCACTGATAGATGAAGTGAATAACACTGATTATCTGATTATCATGGCACCTGTCAGTGGGTGGGATATATTAGGGAGCAAGTGAACATTTTGTCCTCAGGTTGATGTGTTAGAAGCAGGAAAATGGGCAGTGTGAGGATTTAGTGCATCATAGTTTGTTGGTATGGGGCTGCATGACATTATGACCATCAGGGTGCCCAGGTGGTCATAATTTTAAAGCTGATCGTTGCATATAATTTACAGTATGTTTATGTGAACCTGTTGCGATAGGGAGGGACCGGTTGTCAACACATGCTTGGTCAAGGTGTTTGGTCCAAACGTACAGCATCTAAGTGACAGTGCTCATGCTCAGCATTAGTTCCTTCAGATTTTCCCACAGGACTTGTGCTACTTCACACTGACAACCACTTTGGAGCCATCAACAGACAAACCTGAGTACACATCATGACAGGTGTCTCTGTTACATATAACAGAGTACATGCAAGCACACACACACACACACACACACACACACACACTCACACACGCAATCACAGAAACACAAAATACCAGCATGCCCTTGTTCACCTGTATACACCAGTATACCCCAAAACCTCACAGAAACATACATGCTAAATATACACAAACTTTTTTCTTAACAGGCCTCACAAGTAGGATTAAGGAAATGTGTTTATCATTATACAACACAAGGTTGTCCAACAAAATGAAAGTCTGCAGTTCCTTCATGCTACACATAGAAAAAGATAATAAAATTCATGGCAGACTAACATAAAATAAAATAAAATACACCCAGCAAATAGTTCTGCAGTGCATTTTTTTAATTTGCGTCTCGGGGGATGTAAACAGCAGCAATAAGATTCACATAAAAAGTTCAAGATTTTATAAAAAGTGTCCAACCAGTTTAACTGTATTTGAGTACCAAGCATCATCAACTAAAC